CAGCGCCTTACAGATTCGGAATACTTTTATTCCCGCGACTAAAAACCTATTCCTCCGTTCGGACTGGAAAATTCACCGGCAAAATTGAAAAGAAAAACACTGCTCTGCTAGGGCTTGAAGTCGTCTGGATGCGGCTTGCCAACATCCTCCCCAATGGTCGTTCCTCAATACTGGGGACAGGGTATTGCTCACCCCAGACTTCTGGTATCTAATTCAACTCTGACAGGTAGCGGGTTAGCTGGCAGCAAAGCGCCCGATGCTGTGTTCGGGGGCCTCACTGGTGAATTGGGTGACATGAAGTGGGGATGACTTCAATGCTCGGACTGCATCTATCTAAATCTATCGAGGCGCCCATGGGTCACATGATAGGGTCACATGTGGCCCTGAGCATTTCCAGGGTAAGGATTGTCAGCAGTGCGGATTGCTTTGGCTGATGCCTTGTGCGACTGTGCCTGGATTCTGGGCTTGCTATCAGTAACGGACCCATGGAAGGGGACAGGCCTGCAGCCCTTTCAACCTTAACACCGTGTCGGGTCGGAGCTCCGTTGGCCTAGTTATGGCATCTTACAATTTGTTGGAGCGCGTGGCTCATCCCAAAGTGTTGCCGTCGGACCTCCGGGGTGAGTCTAGCGTATTGAGCAATCACGAAGCCCTCATGCTCAAACTCACGGATGTGTGGAGCACAGCGGCAGCCCCTATTTATACAGGTGCATGACCCCAGAGCGTAAGCAAATACCCATTTTTGACCTAGCACGGCAGAGGTGCTTCACAGACCTGTCCACGAATTGGGGGAGGGAAAAGCCTTAACATGCACGCATGAGGTTAAGAGTAGGCTAGATTGCGGGGCCCCGTGTGATGAGAGTATGAGCGAGTTGCACGGTTTTGCGCCAAGAGTGCGCCAAGAAGGCCTCTGGTGATATGCAGCAGAGCCCTCGTACCACTGACCGGGGGTGGTGCAATGTGGAATGTGCGCGCATGTGGAGAGGAAATGGTGGATTTTCCCGCTGTGAGGTCAGGTACCCAAGCTGCCCGACATCCGGAGGGCCACTTGGAGATGTAAGCACAGCACCTTTAAAAAAGCGAGGAAGGCTGTTATCCTTGAGTCCGAGTTGGTTGAGATCCGGGAGAGGATTTCGCAGTCTATGCAGACTTGGCTGCGCAGGGTAGGCCCCCATCTTGTGGCATGACCGCATTGCTCACAGGCGATTCAACGAACCTCAATTATTTTTCCATCCGTGCCAGGCTCAATGTATTTCGAAGGCGCAGCTGTTGGAATATGATCGAGACCCATATACAAGCGGAATGTGAGAGCAGTAGTAGGACCCGAGGGGGTCTGCCACTTTACTGATCATACCAGGTTATGATCCCCGCACTTCAGGGTGTGGCCATCCTTTTGCCCAGTGGTGCTCTCTCTACTGTGTGTGGATTAGCTTTTGGCGAAGGATGAGGGAGAACCAAGACGAGCAGTTGTATTTTTCGGCAAGCACATTCCATTTGCGGAGACATATGCCAGAGACATTTGCGGTACTCCGCACTGTGATACAAACACAGGCTATGTCGACTACGTGGACAAGGTAGAGGTGCGTCTTCTCGTCGACGGATGGAAAGAAATCGTCTGTCAAGGGGGCCCACACCGTCGTGCTGCAGATGCCGCACAAGAAGGGCAAGGATCACTGCAAGTGCTCCTACTGCAAGGGCCAGGGGCATCCGGTCGCGAAGTGCCCTAAACTTAAACAGGGCTACCCGCCTGCGCCGCCACCAACGCCGCCTCCAACATCTCCCCAGCCCAAATTGCGCTGACTGCCACAACAGCTGCAACAACGACAACATGTAGCCGGCAGAGGTGCAGCCGCAGGTCCTAGGTATGTAGTGACACCTGGTTGGAGTCATCCTTGCACTTGGGGAGCCCACTGTAACAACCACACTTGGGGACTTAGGGGCTGGGGGCTGGATAGTGCCTACTGGACACAGTATATTAAGCATTTCTCTTATTTCTGATGGAATCAATACTCTACCATGTTGATCCATGTTTGTTACTAATTTCCCATATTTTATATCGAGTACCGTACTATTTTTGTACATTCCTGATATTCATTTCGAAAGATGTCATGAAAGGCGTGTAGAGGAAATTATCCCTATCAAAAAAATAGGGGCTGGTCCCGAATTGTGGTACTACTATGTACAAATGGCGCCCAAGTACTTCAAGCGCTTTCCATCCTTTTCCGGATGATTTTCACGCTTCATACTTATTATTTCTTGCAAGGGATGACACACTGCTGGTAGTAGCCATGAAAAGACTTAGTCGGCAGAGGTCGGCAAACCCTGAATAACTGTCACGGGTACTGGTGCCAGGGTCGAATAACTGTATGGACATTTTTTTGGTAAAGCCGAGGAAAGGTCGTCAATTGACTGTTCGTTATGAGAACCTCTCAAAGCTAGCGTTTACCTCCTTGTAAAATGGAAGGTTTGGTAAACCTGCCTTTTGGGGGGGAATTTCTGCACCCTGCCGTACGGGTGCCGTACCCGCGATGAAGAATAGAGTTGAACTGTTTAAAGTACTGTTGCATGAGGGCAACAGGTACTGTTTAAAGGCTGATGGGCGGACGGTGAGCTCTATTGGCATGAGCAGTGTGTAGTAGCAATCCAGATGTGACACGTCGTATGAAGTCTTTGGCGAACATCTACCGCTTTCCTGTCGTGTTTTGTACAGTATCCGATGTTCATAGGTGTTTAAAGCTTGACTTGAGTGAAGTAAATCACAGAAGTGGGCGGGCGGACGGGCCTGGTGTGACCCCGAACTTTTGCACCATATGCGGTACTTGTGAACCGATGCTGGTTGAGTTCGATGTGGAGATTCCGAAGAGAACGGAGAGAACTAGGACAGACAAACACCTGCCAAACTTGGAACTCTGCATAAATCACAACAATACCTTTGAGTCGATATGGCAGCATGCCAAGGCCAGATTGCTGTACAAGGGCGGTTAGCGTGCTACGACTTTGAGGTAATGGTGCTGGAATGGGGAGGATACGATGTGGCAGGAAGGGTGGTAGCGGACGCAATGCCACCGCCTCCACCATGGTAGTAGTGCTATACCTGGCTGGATTGGGTCCCGCAGCAATGTGGGCGCTAGTGGGTACCTAAGAGGCACGTGGGCGCCATGCCTTAGCCTGCAGGCATCCTTGGCGGCTTCGGCTTTTGCCCTTTGGGGACGGGGCCCCAGCGCGAAGCGCGTCCGGGGGTTCTCCGGCCCATTCGGTTGACAGTGCTGCAGACAGCTCTGGACAGTCGCAAAGGCGCATGTCGCATCGCCGTCCCCAGTATCCTGACCGTGGAATGTATCGCACGTGGAATTGCTCTGGCAGCCGTGGAGCAGCCTGGTTAGCCAGCAGTCGATACATAGCCAGCTAACCTTACGCACCGGTGTGATGATAACCTGCTGCGGATTAGTGTCACCATCCTTGCCCCTCGCGCATATTTAAAAAGCCAGCCACAACAACTCAGCATTCATGAAAATGCAAAGCACAATTCACACGTAAGACACACTTTGCATGTAAAGCGCACCATTATCTACTCTGGTGCCGGAAACCATAGGTCACACCTCCCCAATCCAGTCGAATTCGGCCTAGGAGTGAAAAAGCTGAAGAGCTGCACGCAGTGCCGTACCCGCATGCCTCATTATACAAACCATGCAGCAGCTTCAAGCAAGGACAGCAGATGCACTATGAAATTTAGTTTACGTAACCTCGCCTTTCATTCACTTCAAGGATGGTTGCATCCTCTTCGGGCACGTCGGCGAATTAGCGCCCCTCAGATTCACCCACCGAAAATTCCTTCCCTCCCTGACACAGACATTGCTGGGTATTTCGTCGGATACAGCATACGAAGGACGACACCAGCGTTCCAGCATAAGGGTTTAAGATGGAGACTCCAGAAGGGCTTTGTATGTATGTGAAAGCCGGTGCTCACAGAAACCTCACGGACCGTGGCCATAGCATACCCATAGCTCCTACCACGGCTCTTGCACGTACTTATTGGAAAACACAAAGAAGCCAAAGGCATATCAGCCTTAGAACTCTACTATGCATCCTACAACGTCCAGCACTTGGCTGGCTGGCTGGATGGATGGATGTTACAAGATTCAGCGAGCTCGTACGTCTCAGACGAACCCGGAGGCTCATGAACCGCTTTAACAGCGCCGATGATAGAAAATAAAAAAAGAAAGTAAAATGTTCGACAGAACAGTTTTACGCAAGAGGAAGACGAATGTTATTAAAGAACCAGGAAAAACGTGGCTACGAAAAAAATGATACTCCAGTCTGGAGTACGGAAATGCGGCCAAAGAAAAATGTTGGAGTCCTCTCCTCATCTGCGATAATGTTTGCCCCCAAGTCTAGTGCAGGAATACCTATCTATGCTTCAATAGCTGAAGTTCTTCAATCTACTTATCACAAGTCCGATGTCGCCAACCGTCGCCATCCTGCCTATTAGTGCCTGTATCACGCGCAGGCTTCAAAGCCATGAATAATGTTTTGCACATAGACTGTGTCTGTTGCTTGGGATTTGTGTTTAGTAAGCCTGCTGAAACGTGTCAGCGATATTTTGAATGGACCGCAACGACGACGATGCTCACACAGACTGGTCTCCGCAAGAGGTTGCATGGGATGGCCTTACCCTCACTGTGCAAAACTCACGCGGTACGTGAAAGGGCAGACGGCGTCATGCTGTGGAGGCCGCACATCGCTGTTGTGCTTTTGTATGTTTCAGGCACCGACTCGAATGTGCCAACAATTGACAAATACTACATTAAGGGGCGTGGGCCAGCCATTGCGGGGAGCAGCGGCGGAACGCCAACCTCAATCTGCAGGGTAATATTCGCGTCCCTCTGCGCCATGTGCCTTACGTACTTGAGTTTCCTAATCGAACTGATTTCTTGTAGGTACCTGGATGCACGTCAGATCTTTCGCGTGACCTCGCGTACTTTCGGCAAGTCCCGTGGACCTTGCGCAAGTTTTGCTGTGTCGTGCTACTATCGCAGATGACAGCGGTGTCGTTATTATCGGCAACCCAGGATTCACGGACTGAACGTTGTTATCTTAGGCATCTTTCGTGGTTTACACTTTGCTCACGCTCAGGGGTTACCTAGTTGCTCCTTTCCTGGAACGCAGGAAATATAGAATCTGCAGAGAGCATCTGAAATCACCGGTACGTCTCCCAACGCGGTTTTGGAAAGTCGTTTTTGAACTGCACTTCGGCCTATCTGTTTTTTTTTGAAGCATTATGAAACCGTAAAACTTTCTGTTTGTTGTGTCGTATTTCATTCATCAGGTCCTCGTAGTTGAGGGCGTGCCAAGCCGTTTTTGCCAACAATGCTCTAGGTGAGTAGTCTGGCGTTCCCGTTAAGGGCATGCCTTCGTTCCCTTAAAAGTTTTATCGCCTAGAAATGCGCTCGTAGGTTTCACCACGTGAAGGAGTTCGACGGTCCTCAAAGGTGCGACTGAATCTCCAAAACACGCGCTCTCCTCTAAGAACACCACTGCCGATGTATCGAGCCAACACGAATTCTCGCCCGAATGTAATCGCAGGACGTGTCGCTCTATGCTGGAGCGCTTACGCATGAAGCGCAATAACACCAAGAGTCAGGCGGCTGCACGAAATGGTCGGGTCAAGAACGATACACGTCCCACGGATGCCTCACTGCGTGGTGGCAGCTCTTCGCGGTCCAATTCCACGGGCAAGGATGCTGAGGTTAGTTCATGCACCGCCACCCTTTCTGGAGGTACCCGTATGTATGCTGTCAGGGAGGGCCTTCCTGCTACAGCGCGCCATCAACACCCCCGTCGAACTGGTACCAATCCACCTCAGCTTCAAGATTGTCAGTGACTTGCGGCTTAGCATCTGGGTCATAAGCCCCAAAGCCATGCCGGGGAATGAGGTTCCTTGGGGGCTATCCAGTCGTGTTTTCACCCCAGCAAATCGCAGCATCTAAGCTCTTTTCTCTCTGTGGAAGTCCCTCCTCCATGCCCGCTTGCCCCGACCCCTCTCCTGCTCCCCTTGCTGGCTGCTACTCGTCCTTTGCCTCTCTGATACAGCCGATCAAAGACCTGGCTCCCGGCCAGCCGCAGCAACACTCCCCTGCCGGTGCGGCACCAACCGACAGCTGCGAGGGCGTGGAGTCCATTACGGCGTTAGCGACCGGGATAGCGGTGCCGCCGCTGCTCAACACCGCCAGCAGCGCCGCCACCGCAACAGCCACCTCCTTTCCTAGCCATGCTATTACACAGAATCCCCAGCAGCAGCAGGGCGTGGCCCTGGATTTCGGGACGCCCTTGCAGTACAGAGAGCGGCAGGCGGTACTGCTGCAGGGTCAGGGCGGTGATTGTGACCCACGGGTCGTGTCCCTGCCAGCTTGCGCTCCAAGGGGGCCCATGGACGCGTTGCCACCTGGCGGGGGAAACCTCAGTGAGCGACAGCTGTATATTTCCCAGGGCGCTGGACCAGGACAGCAACCCAACCGCATCCTGGCCGGCGGCAGCTCCGCCGCTCAATTCCGCAGCAGCCGCATCGCCGAGTACGACATCGGTGACCGACGGGATGTGCCTGACAGCAGGCCCCCCATGCAGCAGTACCGTGACGCGCCGTACGGCCGTTCAACCGGCGTGGACGGCAGCATCGGCTGGAGCAGTAGCAGCGGAGGCAGCCTTTCCGCCGCCGCTCTGGCAGGCATGGTTCCGCGGCGGCCTGCACCACCACAGCCAGAACCCGCACAGCGCCCTAGCGAGCGGGACGTTCACCGACAGCTGGGTAATGGTGGCCGGGAGGACCCCTTGCTGCTACAGCTGGCCATGATGACCAGAGGCCCACCTGACCGGGTCGGTGTGCCTAAACATGAGCAACAAGCGCTGGACCTCGGTCCGCCACCCCTACCGGTGAACCCGGTGTTGAACCTAGGACGTCGAGTGGACTTGAGCTTAGAGCTTCAGCTTCAAGATATTTATCGCGAGGTAGGCAGTGGCAGACATGTGTGTGAGGCTGTATTGTCTGCGTTGGCTGGGATTCTGCAAGGAGCTTGATTCTGGGCCTGGTGTAAGGAAGGCCATAGGCTGGGAAGATATCTTGTCGCCTGATGGAAAATGAGGCAGGGGGGGGCTGCTCGCTAGATTAAATTGGCCTGACGGCAGTTTACCTGGCTGTGGCGAGGTGATGTGGGTGGGTCAAAGGCAGAGAGAAGAGCACGGCGCAGGTGCTTGGTCGGGGCGAAAGGTGGAGGCGGCCCAGGGGGTGAGGAACTCTGCGGCTAAAACCGGTTAGCCAGGAAATGATGAAGGCTACGCAACGGCATCGAAGGTCAGGATCAAACTCGCGTTTTACTTCCCCGCAAGGCAGCATTCCTTGTATGACATCATTTTATCGAGCGTATAGCGTACCGTACGCGCTGACCTTGCAGGAGCCGCAACAGTTGCGCTTGGTTGCGGAATCTGTGATTAGTATAGCAGCAACAGCAGCTACAGCTACATACTCGCAGCAGTGTTCAAGGCAGCCGCGCCGCACGCACCCCGGACATGCCACTGCGGTGCGGACCTCGATACTCCCTCCAACTCAACACCCCGGCCCAGGCCCCTTCGCGTGAACCTTGTCCCTCGGCTAAGGAGCTGTGGTGGATTCCTACCCTACGCAGAACTCGGCATTTAGTTTATCCGCGGCTTTCCTGAACCGTTTAATTGTGTAATTGTGAACAATGAACAAAGCATCGAGTAAACCGAATAAGGCACCTCTTTCCGTGCTGTGCATAACACAGAACTTATTGAGACCCTAAAGACGCGATGACGATTTGACGATACGTGAGCGCAAAACCGTAAAGTGACGAAAAGCACGTTACCCATAACGGGGGCTAATGTGAGTTGTAAAACACGGCGCGGACTCACCTAGGCAGACTCACCTCGTCCAAAGGCGATTCGCGTTGGGCGCTGATCCGAGAAGCTCTGTCGGGGGAGCTGGCCAGGGCACACAGGGCGTACATGCTTCTGGAGCTGTGTAACAACACTTCACTCTCCTTGCCTCTCAAATGCCACGTACGTGTATGGCATGCTCCGAAACCTGACGAGAGCCTCCCCGTCGGCCGCCGCGATCCCTACAAGCAGATGGCGATTTCGGACACGTCGGCGCCCATGCAACCCCGTCAGGAAGACCCGTTGCTGCGCTCCCTGAGCAGTGGTGCTCCCCTTGGCCATCCTAACTCCAGCAACACCGTGACTTCCACGGCGGCATTGCTTCCACAAGACCCCTTGCTGCCGCTGGGGCATCGGGCGGCGGCGCCGCTGCCGCAGCCATCGGCAGGACATGCTGCCATCCGGTTCGGACACCAGCAGCCCCCGATGATGGGAACGGCGGCGTCCGCGTTGTTGGGCCCCCAGCAGCAGCAGCAGCAGCGCAACCAGCAGTGCAACCAGCAGTGCCAGCAGGCTTTCAGCGACTTATCGACTGCCCTTAGATTGGCAGCGGTTGACGGTATGAATGTGGATACAGACCATATGCGCCTGCAGACGTCCCTGGCTGCACGTAATGCTCAAGCGCCGGCGCCATCTGGATCGGCAGCGTCAGCCTATGGCATGGGGGCCGGGGTGGGTGTTAGCGACCTGCGCCTGAATCTCCATTCGCAGGTGCAGCAGCAACATCACCTGCGGCAGCAACAGCAACAGTTAGAGCAGCGGCAGCAGCAGCAACAACAGCAACAACAGTTAGAGCGGCAAATGTTTCCCGGGGTCGCTGCCGGCGGGGCCGCTGACAGCGTGGTGTTGGTCCGCCATCACGACGCCAGTCGCGCCGTCATGGCTCCCCGTACTGTGTACGGCAGCTGTGATGGAGCGTTTGCGGCGGGGGCGGTGAGTGATGGCATCTATGGTAGCATGTATGGCGGTGGCAGCTCAGCCGCTATGGCCATGGCTGCGATTCCAGAGGCCGCCGACAGCAGCTTGGTTAGGTGGTCCAGTAATGATATTGACGCTGCTCTGGATATGCTGATGGAGGAGGCTGGAAGCGGTGCAGTTTACCATACGGGAAATAATGTAAGTGTCGTACGTTGCGTGTCGTACTCGGGGTTGTGCGGCCCTGCGTCATGATAAGATACCTGTTCAAGTCCCCGGGGAGTGCGCGGGGAATAATTTCAATTTGGACCGTGTGTCAGGCTGCGCAATTGGCGGCAGAATGCGGAGGTCATCTAGCATTCTTGGCGCTGGGACGGGGCTGCCAATGGCGGCACTGTGAATCTTAGCACGGGAAGCCCCTTTTCTAATTGCCATGATTCACCCACGTGCTACAGGCGATTATGTCCTTTTTGTGAGGCACACACGCACGCAAACACGCACACGTCTTTGTTTATGGCATATGCCGTGTAGAGCAGTCCCGGTGAAAAGTGCTGCTAGGCTTGTGTTGCACGCAGGAAATATCCGCTCTTTCCATGCTCACTTCGTCGCCTTTGCATTCTGCACGACGCACAGTCTTGTGACACGTATCATCCACAACGGTTTTACACCCGCTGCAGACTGCATCCCTGGAGCGCATTTGCTTCAAGCTTAACAATCTGCACCCCCAAGATCTACCGCCCGACCTGATGGGCGCAATGGGGTCCTGGCTAGCAGCGGCGCGTACGGAAGTCGTACAAGGTGCTGTACGGCCCGGCTGCATAATGCTAGTCCTCGACGTCTACGTAAATGGCCCCGACCCGGCGGATGAGCTGATGGAGGAAGGAAGCGATGGCGGCGATACCGCCAACGACGACGGCAGGGACGGTGCCGGCGGCAGTGATGCAGCGACGAGCTTTTCACTTGGGGATCCGTTGCAATCCGGCGACTCGTCAACGGGGTTGGCGGGCGGCAAGGGGCGCGTTCTGGGAGGCCTTGTCCTCTCAGGGCACGACCTGGCGCATTTGGAGGCAGCCGCGGCGGCGGCTGGTGGTGAGGTACTTCAGCCCATTCCAGATCTGGCTTATGGCTCGTCGCCTTTGAACGTTGTGGGAAACCAGGGCGGAATCTCTTCTGAGGCCAGCACAGCGCACCTGAGCGCTTATGTGATGCACAGGGGCAACGTGCGAGCGGCGACGGCGTGCTACAAGAAGCTGCTCGGACCGCGTGCCGTACAGTCCATGGCGGTTTCCATCAGGCATGAGGTGAGCAGGCGGGGGTGGGTCTGCATATGCGTTACATGCATACAGGCAGACACTAAAGACTGCGCCATGCAGAACGCGTATGATGCCGCACAGATGGGTGGACATTGAACGATCCTCTACGTGTGTATTGTTATGTTTATGCGCATGTAAAAAAACCCGTTGCGCAGGTGTTGACCATCTCAAGTCCTGCTAGAGGGCGCTATGTGACAGATGTTCGCGGCACAATGGCAGGGCTGGACACGCCGCTGCTGCTGTCGGTGTCACCGTTGGCGGTTGTAGCAGGTACGCGTCAAGAAGACAATGGGCGCGCGGTATGCGCAGTGGAGGTGGGCTCGCGATGGCGGCGGTAGCGGTGGGAGTATTCCGATGCCTAGGCGGAAAGGTAGAGGGGTAAACAGGAGTTGCCAGTTGCTATTTTATAGCGTTTACACACAAGGTCACAAGAGTCTCACGACAGCGGGGCACCTGTCCTGGCATAGAATACAGCGCGAGCAGCATTGGTGATTCCGTAGAGGATCCCATGCAACGCCATTTCCATCCGTTCACTCGTTTATTTATTCACTTCCGCATTCATTTCTTCCGGTAAATTTCCTTTCGGTCATCAGCCCCTTTGTCTGTCGGGTGCCCTTAGCCCCCCAACGGCTTGTATGGGCCTGTGGGTTAATGCACCTCTTGAAGGGTGGTAACGCAACTCCAAAGGAGGTGCAAAAACACACACGCAAAGGCATCCAGCCAGCTATGGCGAGGAAAGCTACACCGGGGTGACGAGGGTGGGTTCGTGCACGCGCCAGGGAACACAGATCACGACATATCGGCGCTCGTTGACCGCCGTCGCTTTAACCATCCTCATCCTCATCCTCTTCCACCCGTGGCATCGGCCCTCTTGTTGCCCTCTGTCTGGTCTGTCTGAACACAGGTACGCCGGCTGTGGTGAGGGTCATTGGATCCCACCTCGCGGGACCTAGGAGGCGACCCCATGTGCGCTGCCAGGGGGCCCACGTGCCGTGCAGTGTGACGGTGGCACAGGACAGCGCAGCAGCAGCAACAGCAGGAAACGCAGGAGGAGCCGCGGCCGCTGGAGGCACATTTTGCGATGGGGACGCCTTCCAGAAGGTTTCGCCCTACGACCTGCCGGCGCTGATGGGCCAGCTGCTTGCCAGCACGCTCCCTGGCAGCCACCGGGCGGAGGCCGTGGCGGAGTGTACGGTGAGGCTGGGTTGCTGCTGATATTTCTGGAATTTCGTTCTTGTTGTTACACTGCTGCTGCAGTTGCTGCTGCGGCCGACAGGTGATTTAGTCATTAATCTTTGTATGAAGGAGAAGATGGAAAGTGTTGAAACCTGCTATTGTTGTGCTTTTGCATATCGGGTAGCGAAACGAGGGAGAGGCAGGAGGGGTTCCAGGCGCAGCGTTATAGGGTTTTAGGGACGGTAACGGTTGGAGGTGGGCTAGGGTGCTTGGATGATATGCGTTGAGAATATTCACGCTGGAAGTGGAAATGAAGCCGGAGGGATTTGGGGACACAACGTAGGAGGAGGGGTCTCGGCTATGCCGTTTATACTTAGAGGCCGCGCTCTGAATTGGTTTACGGCGGGGGATGGAACCGCTTATTATGTCTCGCTGCTTTTTGCTGCTTCTACCGCTTTTCCTATCACGGTTACAGCTTTTCCTGTTGCCTGTCACTTCAACTCAACTGTTTGGCTGCTGACCCTGGCTGGCTGCCCTGGCTGGCTGACCCTGCAGAACGTTAATCTTGCGTTTAATGCTCCCGATGCGGGCCTCCTGATGGTGGAGTGGGAGGCTGACTGCTCCAACGGCAGCGGCGGTATCAGCCTGAGCGAGTGGCTACCACTGCTGTCAGTACCGGACATTGCCATGGCATCGGAGATTAACGAGCTGGAGCGCGCCAGGGATGGCAACGACAAGAGGCAAGTCTGCAGTCACGCGACTTTGCAAACTTGCGTGACCGCGTGGTCATCAGCTGAGTCCGGACTCTTGACCGAGTCTGACGAGCACGTTTTGCTTCCTGTCTTGCCCTCCTAGCAACTTGTGCAACTTGCGCCTTCTTTTTGGTTTCTGTGGTGCGCAGGGTTCGACCCTTCCTGGACGATCTCGGTTTGGTTTTGGATTACGTCACCCGGATCAGCCATGGCTTGCTGATGCCCATTTCGACGCTGATGACAACGGGGGAGGATGCATCGGGCGAGGATGCGGCGGGCGGCGGCTCGGACGTCGGCGGAGGTCGAGGTGGCGGAGATGGTGGAGGTGGCGGTGCAGCCACGTTACCGTCGTCGGGGGATTTTGCGTCCTGGCAAAGCCGCAGCGGTGGCGGTGGTGAGTATGAAGGCCACCCCAGTGCTACTGCTCCACTGCTGGTTCAATAAGTAACCTGTTACCGCTGTGTTATTTACGATGCGATGATTATTTCTGCGCGTCTTTTGTGTCATCAGCGGGCTTGTACCAGCCCCCGTGCCCTCCGCCCCTCTTTGCTCTGTAGATTGGATCTCTGTCGCCCCACCACCCTGAATGTCATGTATTCCTTTGCTCCCCCCCCAGCCAGTTCACCCTGCCGTTCCCCCTTGCCGTACTGCCTTGCACATTTCCAAGGTGCGGACCAGCGCTCCTCTCCAGCAACAGCTGAAGGCCTCCCGGACAGCTCCGGCGGCGTCAACCCATTTCGATTGGAGCACGACTCCCGCACTGAGCTTATGACCAAGCCACGGCTGTCCAAGAGGCATTACAACCGGGTGGCGGCATTGACGCCTGCGCTGCTGGCCTTTGCGGTGGGTACAGGCTGAGTAGCTTGCTGGCGGAGCGGTGCCCGGGATCGACATCTCTCTGTCTGTGTGCTTGTGCGTGTGCGCGCGCGTCGGCCTCCGGAAGAAAGCGGTATGGGCGGCTGGTGGTGTTGAAATATATACTGTGCCGCGAGGACGAGGTCTGCGCACGAGGTGGCAGCTGGTCTGTGTTTTGCGTGAGTCATGTTGAGAAGTTTATCCGTTCTCCTGCATTGATGGTAATCATTCTCTCGCCTGCCGGGGTATTTCTTCTCTGGGTATCAGAAGTGCATCGGCATCTTGTTTGGAAAGAAGGAAGGAGCTGGGGGGAGCGCCCATAGTCCCGGGGTCTCTGTCCGTTACACCCCTCTCGCCTCTGGGTAAAGTAAAACAAAACGTCGCTTTTGTTGCTGCCATCAGCTGATCTGGTAACTGACTTCTTCTGCTGGTACAGTGTTATCATTGTTACTAATTGTTATCTGGTTCATTTCTTTCTGACTTCAGCAGTTATGCATGAACTAAGTTTGCATTAATGGCTGTGTTTATTTTGCCGCGTATGCGATGCTCCTTTCGAATTGATCGCAAACGTGCACGTTTTTTGGACCACAGGCAGATAGCGGCATGTTAGCTGTCATGTCCTGGCTGATGGACTTCATGCTGGAGCATGTGTATTTTGGCGATTTGGCAGCCGTGTTTCAGAGCGTCGAGTCGGTGGGCGATGGAGCTATGGTGCTCCCGCTGCTGCACCGGACGGTGCGCAGTGGCAAACCAGACGCGGTGCAACTGCTGCTGCACCGCGCCGCCTCACATAACATGGCCTGCAACTTGGCTCAGCCTGCTGGTGAGGTAGACGCGGTGTGTGGCGCTGCGTCAAAGGGCTTGTTTTGTAAGCGTTTCAACTGTTGGGTTAACATTACCCCAGAACACAAGCAGCCCAGGCGAAGGTTGCGTCTGTGTCGGGATATATTGCTGTCGTCAAGGCATTAAGCGAGACCACTGCGTGCGCGCGTGGCACGGTTTGGAAGGATGAAAAGAGGACTGAGGATGAAAAGAGGCAAGAAGCGGTTGCGAATTTGGGGCCCTTCTTCCTGTCCGAAGTTTCCTGTTTTTGCTCTGGTACTTTATGGCCTGATGCACACACCATGTCTCGCGCCACTTTGGTTTGGTGCGGTACTCGCTAGTGTTTCTCGCCTAATTGCTCTTTGCGGCCAAACGCGCCACAACCCTTAATGCCCGATTGCACCTCCTCAGGACCCTTCGGCATCACACCGCTGCACCTCGCCGCACTCCAGCCCCTTGGGTCGGGCATGCTACAGGCCTGTGGCTGCGCTGACCCACGGGTCGCGGAGCTATGGGCCATGTTGCCGGATGCCGCCGGCAGGACACCGGCCATGTACCTGCGGCGACAGGTACTATCTCGTTGCTGCTGCTGCTGCTGCTGCTGCTGCTGCTGTGTCGGAGGGTCGTGGAGGTCGATGGGTGTGCGTTTGCGGCGGCGGTCTGGAAAGGAAAGTGGGCTCTTAGGGCGTGGATGTGTGTTGTATGTGTGTGTGTGTGTGTGTGCGTATCAGATATCTTGGGCTGCTGCCAAGCTGCTCCAACGAACAAGACCGCCGAAGCACTCCCCCAGGGGAAAGGGGAGGTGCGTGAGGGGCCACTGTTCCCTTTCCTGCTCGACACAGACCTCGACCGCTTGATACATTGTGGGGGCGTACACAGCGGTGGGTCTATAGAGGGGAAAAAGCCTCAAACGCTGTGCCAGGAGACCGCCAGACAGCAGCCAGCAACGAAGGATGTTCTCGGCAAGCTGCCCACGCTGAAATCCTAATGCAGCACCAGGGCACAAAACATCCTAATGCTATGTGTACCCCGGTGTACAACTCAAATCCCTGGGCCACGGTTGGCCCTCAGGCAAGCTAAATCCCAAAACCTTTCGCTCCAACCCGTACTGCGTACCATTAATTCCTCATCTGCTCCTCTTGCTTACCTGCCGCCGCAGCTGGAAAACTCTTCTCACTCCGAGAGCACTGCCATGGCTTTAAGAGCGGCCGCTGAGGCCGTTGTTACCGTTACCGCGGACCGCACGACTTCGCGCGACTCCGCGTCTGGTTCCGCTTCTGCCACTGCCTACAACTCCTGGGCCAGCGAGGAGCCCACTGACGCGTCCGTGATCGCTGCGGGCACGGCTGTCCCCGCCGCCGCCGCCGCCAGCTTCACCGGCCGTACTCTTAGTGCCGCCGAGGCCCCGACCCCGCCGCTGCCCACTGTAGCCGCCGCAGTCGGCTACGAGCGTCGCGACGGCGTTGGCAGTGACGAGGCAGGGGCCGGGATGGGCGACAGCGCGGAGGAGTTTCGGGAGAGGCAGGAGTTTCGCCGCCGGGGCGGCCGACTGGCGGACTTGGGAGCCGAGGCGGTGATGGAGACGATGACGGCGCCTGAAGACGCCGCGCCACGCGCAGTACGCAGCGATCTAGGTTCTGCTGTGGTACGAGGGGGTCGCGCGGACATGACGGCGGAAGCGCCGGCGGCGGCGGCGGCACAACCTCGTGTTGGGACGACCCAGCAGGGAAACGGCTGGGCCCCGCTGCAAGTGTTGACACGGATTAAGGAGGGTTGCAGCGGGGCGGCTACCATGTTGACTTGGTTGCGGGCGAGGGGGCCGAGCACGGCAGGGGCGGCGGCGGCGCCAGCGGAGTCGGGATCAGGGTTGTCTGGTCCCTTGCCGTCCGCAGGCTACGGATTGCAATCGGTTGCGGCAGCGACGACAGCGGACAGCCATTCCGTCCAGACCAGCCCGAAGGCTAATGCCGCCTTGAAGACGTCTTCCTGCGGAGATTCCACGGAGGATTGGGTGAAGATGAAGCTCTCGATGCACGCGAGGGAAGAAAAACAGCAGGACGCAACAGTGCAGCAGAGGACGGAGCCGCGGCGAGGTGGTCGAGCCGCTGGTGGCAGCGGCAGTGGTGGTGTACATGGAAATGGGGGCGGCGAGGGTGACGACCTGCAGGGCCAGGAGCGGGGGCTGAAGTTGGGGAAGTGGAGCCTTACAGCCGGGAACAGTGGTGCCGCCTCCGCAGCACCGCGAGAAGCGAAGGGGGCTGTGGGCTTTGCTTTCCGTGAGGTAGTGGGTTTTGTAGTATCCACAGCGGCAGCAACAGCTGCAGCGCGGGCCGCGTGGCTGCCCGATGCTGTGCGCGGCGCTGCTGCAGCACGAGTGGGTCGTGGGGAGGGGTTGGACGGGCGGTTTCTGGGCAGGCCGATGTTGGTAACGTTGTTGATGTCGGCCATTGCAGTTGCGGTTGGGGTAATTGTAGCTTTGGTTAGCCGATTCGCCGGCCAAGATTCGTTGGTTGACTCTTAGGGAGCACGATGGCGGCGGCCTGCGTGGTAGCGGGTTCTGGTGTGGGCGAGGAGCATGTGGGCGATTCTGGGGATGGGGCTGGAGCTAGGGGAGGAGGCGGGCATGGTGGCGGGAGGAGGTGCAAATAAAGGTTCCAGCAGAGGATAGCAATAATGACCTCTCCACCCCTGCCTCGCTCCTTATGTTCATTCCTAAGTTCAAGCTGAGGCGTATTGTATTATCCCTATTTTGAGGAAATACATCATATTGTTGGTTGTTGCAGAGTGTGAGGCTTCTGGGGCGATTGCAAACATCATATGTTTTCCATGACGCAGCTGTGCCCCTGGTACCGGGCGGGGCCCGGTAACGAAACTCTTCTTGAAGTCCTCGTTGCAGGTTGTTGAGGAAAGCTGTTGGACGGAACGGTCGGTTGATAGCTGTTGAAAAGCAAGGAGGGGAAGGGGAGAACGCGACATGGACAGAGCGCGCGGAGGCGGTGGGTGCAGCAGAGGTTGGTTGCAAACCGCGAAGCCGACCGGCCGGGCAGCCGCATCACTCCTCACGGGCGGAGAGGCTGCGTTGTGTGAGGAGTGCGGTCCATGGGAAGAGGCGGGGTGTTGGTGGGGCCGCAAGCTGCGGGGGGGGGGTGTGAGTTGCGAGTCGATAAACTATATAATGATTACGCACATGTGTTTATTATGCGAGTAGTAGCTTGCTGGTGTTTTGTTTCTCGGCAGTGAACACGGAGATGTCAGCGCGCTGATATGGCTGCGAATCTTGGGCGCATCCTGTCCATCGAGCATGAGTCTTGTCTATCTATGCGTGTTTAAGTAAGATGCGAGCATCCAAAGAGGCACTGTGGCTGAATGTCTGCTCGAACCGTTTTATTACATGGAGGTTCATTATTGTGGTGCTGCGACCAAAATGACTACATTGTCTGAGACGATGTTTCTGATCGCGCTAATCCTGTTGTCTCATAATCGGACGTCTTTCGCCGGAATTGGAATGTTTGCCGCCATTGTCTGTAGCTGTACGACTGGACATGTTGAAAATTTTGTGAGGGTTTCCATGGGGCTTCGCAGGTGGTCAAACGTTGACGTTGAAGTTGTGGGTGTGGGACTCCAACGGCTGGGGTGTGGCTGGGGTCGGTGTGTTTGTGTCATTGTGGTTGCTTTTTGGCGTCTTCAAGCGCACCTGTGCGTTTCTGTTGCAAAACTCGTGAAAGCTGCCTAATCTGTGTGGCATCATCTGGTTGGCGCGCGGTCCCCGTCTCTCGTCCGTCACTGCTTGTCCGGCTGGGTGGGTGGGTGTCACTGTTAAGGCGGTTGGGTGTCACTGTTAAGGCGGTTGGGTGTCAATGTTAAGGCGGTTGGGTGTCAATGTTAAGGCGGTTGGGTGTCACTGTTAAGGAGAGGTTGGGTGTCACTGTTAAGGCGGTTGGGTGTCAATGTTAAGGCGGTTGCGATAACCGTTTGGAGATTGAAACCGTTGGGGCGTTTATCGTCCGGGGATTAAGACGATTACTGGGTGACGCCTCTTGGTCGCTAACGCCGTCATCCGTCTCGAGGAACCGTCCCCAAGCCCTTCCTCAGGGTCACGGTGTGGTGGCACGTAATTTGGGCGAAGGTGGCTTCTGCATGTGTTGTTTTCACGCTCACAACTGGTACGGTACGTGCATGTAAGCATGTGTTTTTTGGCTGAAAAGACGGTGCACATGTATCAAGCGCTGTCGCCCGTTCATGTTGGATAATTCATCGTCCGTGGTGGTGAGGTTGGAGTGACGGCTGGTGGTCTTATTTCGCCTGACCATAAATTCACAAAGTCTCTCCAGGCATCGTTGCGCCTGCCGGCAATATCTACAGCAATCGACTCATTCACCCAAATATCGGATTGGGCTGCCAAGATTTGCCGCAACAGCACGGCCTTCCCGTGGATTCGGTTCGTAAACGTTCCTATTTGCCGTACAAATCTAGAAGGACGAGGAGCGCGTTGTTAATTGTGGTACTGTACGGCAGTGGCGCACGACCGTGCTGCGACCGAGCACCTTTAATCTTAGATTAGTCCTTGCGCCCATGAAGCGTAGCCCCTCGCGGTTGCGCTGTGTTTGCGCCATGCGATTGCGAGATCGAGAGATTGATTGGGAAATTGAAGCAGGGTGAGCCTGATTAATCCGAGTCATAGGGCCCGAGCCCGTTTGCCGGCCCTAGGCCTTGGCCGTGCTTGTGAATCTTCTACTGTGGTCGGCTATGCTGCGTAAACACTCTATGACAGCGCCGAAGGGACTGCTGTATGGTGTTCGGTTTTATTTATGTCAAAATTGGGGGAGAATTGCACCAAATCAAACATGGCTCGTACGCGGCTTTTACGTTGCATGTTACATGCGCATGCAGGGCCTCGTTGGCCTCCCGTAAGACGAATGGAGGATGCTGCTAGGAGATCGGCATTGCGAGCAAAGTATTTTTTTCGCTGATGACGCACTTGGCCATTCATGCATGAAGTTAAGAAGGATGTGCACTGTACACATTGCAGTCTTAACGTTCCTTCTAGTTCTCCTCCAGGAAGGGACGCCGATGACGTGCTGCCCATCGGAGTTAATTCCTCGCAAGCAGGAGCAGGTCCAATTATGCGTTTATATACATGTACGACTGCACGCTGTCGCCCAGCAGTGTTGGGAAGACTTTTCGCCTGCATGCTGCCGCGTAACACCTTCTTTATCCCTCGGCCAGGGCGCTCCAGCGCCATCGGCATCGGGCATCGGCATCAGCGCCATCGGCGCTGCGCGACATCCGAGGTTGCCATAGTTTTTACGTTGTCACGATACAGTCTTCTGTAGCTATTGAAAAGGCACCACGCCCGCTGGGCATCTGTATCGCTGCGTCCTCCCGTAGAGTTCGCTGTATTTTTTTATGACGGGTCGAAGAAAGCGCCGCCGAACCCGTTGAGTGAGTGCGAGTGACGTCGGGTTGTGCGAGTAAATTTGGGCCCGCGTATACAGAGCGTGTGTGTGTGTTGAAGCACATCGGTTAACGGCACGTACGTAGCCTCCTGAAGCGATTGTAGAAGACCGGTACTAGTACTATATCCACGTGCAGTTCTTTTGTGTTCGGGGTCGCGCGATTGTCGCACGCTCTTGGGCTGGATGCAAAAGCTGCAGCACATGCAGTGACCGCTCTGCACATGCAGATCGTAACCCGCTTTCTATGAGACCGGCGGCGCCATGCAGAGGGTCCGGACGGCCCTGCGGGGCGAGGCCCTGATGCGCGTGGCCCTGGAACATTCTTTACAGCCTACACTGCAATGCGACGACAGGTCTTAAGTTAATGCAATCCAGCCTGCCGGCTTCCTTATGAATGGCATAGCCCTGTCCGCTCTTTTGTGGCTCGGTGACATCAGGGCCTCAGTGACTGGTACTGTGCTCAGGACACCGCCCCCGATGCATACTGAGAACCGCTGTCACTATCTTAGAAACGGTTATCCTTACTATCTTGCATGCGTTTGCACTCCATGCCAGTTCGCTTACGTTGGTTTATGCTGAGATGGTCCTATGGCCGCGTTCTTGTATATGTTTCAGTGCAGTCGGTTGTGTCTACGGCTTTTGACGCCGCTCGATCAGCTGAAGCCTGGACACCAACTAGCTAGCGCGCGAGAGCAAACTCCACGTAATAGTGCGTGTACTTAAGGCTAGCTGAGGTCCTTGAGCTCTTGCGTGCACATGGGGCGGGTTTCCATACATCCATTTAAGAGCAGCCCCGCACCGCAACACACAGCATCACTCCACGGAGTACCACAGTGAGCTCAACGACAAGTAATGAACACATAAGCCCTCAATGTACATGGGGCATAAAAATCAAGCAAAGTTTTTTCTCATCGAGATTTGGAGTGCTGGCAGCTAAGACGGACGACACGGCCAACACGGATTAACTTGGATTTGGCGAGCTGTACGATCAATGGTCCGCCGGCCAGCTCATATGCAGTGGACACCAGGCTCATCGCGCGCCAGCCAGAGTTAAAGGACCTAAAGCCACTGGCATCATCATACCGGCAGGAACGCACGCACGCGCAAATACACCGCACAAGGGGCTGATCTCCATGACACCTCATCCGTTTTTACATCCCATATATAAACCCGAGCCTGAATCATAAGCCACGCTTATGTTAAAATTGCTCCCTTCAACTATGACTACCTGGTCACAAGGCCTAGGAATCAAGGCGCAGAGCTTTCTCCCTCACCTTCAGGAGAAGGCTCTTCCGTAAGGCCAAGAGCAATTTGATGAACGAGACATCAGCTCAGAGGCCACCATCACCCCATAAACCTTTATAACCACAGTCGAAGCACAAACATCCTTCATGAAATGTTTCTCCTAATCTCCGGGAAATGGGAAGGAAGAAGGGAAGAAAGAAAGAGAATGGAATGGAGGAAACCATTGCCCGTTTCGAGGGCTCCATTGCTGGATCTCTCTTGCTGTCCCCCAATCCGTCGTCCTCACTACGAGCAAAAATCATGCCCGGCTATGCGCAATAATGAATGTGGCCAGAACGACAGCACGCAATTTCCAAAGTGAGCTATCGCGCTTCCAAATACCTCCAAATTTTCTAACATGATACATCCTCCGGTTTCAAAGCTTTGCAAGTTTCATACGCATAAATACATCCACCTAGCAGTACATACACACTGCATCAGGTGTAATTAGCTCCCGCTCCTTTCATACCCATTGTACAACATTTGCGACATAGCGCGTGCCGTATACTCGTACACAGCACGAATTTGCCGTGCGACTTTCGAATGGAGCAGTTGTTCTGTTCTTCAGCCCGTCAGTCAGCCTTACAGTCACATGCTCTGCCCATTACCCTGCAAGCGAATCTCCCGCCGCCGGCTGTCTTATCCTCTAAACCTTCCCGCCTTCATCGCGTCTGTTCCAGGGAGGCCTTCATTCTTCATTTCTTTTCCGCGCACACAACACCCACGGGGATCGTACCGGACCAGCAGCCTAAGCAGCCTTCAGGCATTGCAGATATGAATGTGACGTATTACGCCTGTAAGTATTAGCTGCCCTTCCTGCAATGCTCTCACCTACAGTTCAAATCCTTCCAACGCCTCCCTCGCGTCTCAATTGCCTCCCCGTTATCAGCTGCTGGAGCTACCAGATGCCCGCGCCCTGCCTCTCCATACCATCACCATCCCAACCCAGCTCCGCTGATCCCTCTAAATCTTCCGTCTCCCCCTTCACAAAACGGCACCCTTCCCAATCGAACACTGCCACCTGCAACATAAACTACTCTGTACCGCTGCTGCACGGCCCCCACGCCCCTGTCAGGTGTAGCCTTACATCTGGCTCAGTCGTTAACTCCCGTGGTTGGAGGCTCGCCAGTGGCTTTACCAACAACACTGAAAGTACTGCTGTTATTGACAGTCGTCCATTGGAAAAAAGACAGGTTTCAATACACACTGCTGGAGTTGCTGTTGTAGATTTAATAGCCCTAGAACCTTAGAACCTGGGGAATGCTGGCGCCGCTGCTGCTACCCTGATTTAGCGTCGCTGCTGACGAAATGCACCGCTCGCATGATGTAAATCACGTGCAGCCCGCACGCTACGGTGACGAGATAATGTAGAATGTGGTGGTCTTGTAGGCCTATGGGTCGCGAGTGCCCGCCATTCCTGCGTAACAACAGGGGCAGCAGGCAAACGCGTATGCGTGCTTGGCTAGGTAAAAAAAGGTTGGACCCGGGCAAAATCTGGGTTTTAGGGTTTTAGAGTTTAACCCAAGATCCAGATCCGTTTATTAGGACTTTTACGGTTCTGGAGGGGACGCTTCTCTTGCACAACGACCCAAAGGCCGGCTCGAGCCAGGTTAGGTCCGGCCAGGCCCGACAGAGGTGGGCAAGGGGTTAGGTCAGAACCCCATGGTGCGGTGGCCAATGGCTACCCTCTAATTATCATCACTGGCTTGTAGACAGACGTGCGGGCCGATAGAGAGGCTGACCGATATACAGACACACGTACTGGCTTTCAGGCCTAGTGCTGTGCGTCATGATGACTTGGTAGCATCGTACTATCCCCGTGGCACCCGCTCCCGTCCCAAGGGTGGATACACAGGACACATCCGCATCCGCATCCACACGAAAAAGATCGCCCACTTCCCCCCCTCACCTGGAGGAGGCCCTCTCACTCCCAACCTCTCCAACCCAGGCCCTCAACCCGGCCACAAAGTCCCCCTCTCACCTGATAAAAAACACCCCCCCAGACACGTGCAACACCACCTGCACGACCATATTCAAATCCACAATCCAGTAGTAGTACCCGAACAGCACCGCCCCTGATGCCACAAACGCCAGCGTGCGGTAGAGCGGGCGCAGGAAAGCCGCTGCGATGGCCATCACCGCTACCGGCAACATCACGTAGTAGGGCCCGGAGGGGCGCAAGGCCTGCAGAGGCGGGTGCGGAGGCGGAGGGAGGGTGCGCATGTGTTTGGGGCCAGAGCTAGGGCCAGGACCAGGACCATAAGCAGGAGGAGGCCGTGACCACGGGTTGCTTTCCGGGTTGCTTTTCGGGTGGCGTCTGGTGGTGTCAATGCGTGGGTCTTCGTGGGAAGCGCGGGAGCTCTCGGGGGTAGAGAGTAAAGGGAAGTAAATTATTAGTCACTTTGTTACGGCGTGAAAGGTAGGGAGGAAAAGTCGCAGCCGTCGGCTACTACGGTGATACATCTATCGTGCAGGGTTTGGACATACATACGAAACATGTACGGTGCAGTACGAAACATATGCACTACTGTCAGACACCATTACATCCTTACAGGTCAGGCCCTGCTGTAATGCGGGTCCGCTGATTACAACAGGCACACACAGAGTACAGCAACAGGTGTCTGCAATCAGGGTGTGAGGAATAATGTGACCGATGCATTGCACTCCTTTGCGCGTGACATGTTGGTGCAGCTGCCTAGCGCCGCGCCCTCGAACCCCACCGCCAACAAAAGCACTAGCAGTTAGCACTCTCTTTCCTCTTGAAAGATATCTGGGGTTTCATAACCCCGTAATGAAGCCACAACTCACGCATGTTCTTTTATTTCAATTCAAGACCCGAATTTCCTCCCTACCCTAAGGCTGTCCTACGCAATTTGCGATCCCGTACCATGACAGCTGTTGCAGGCACCCCGATGATGAGGAACGGAATGCACAGGTGGTCAATCTTCTCCTGCAGTCGGCAATGGGCAATTTTGGCGTCATGCAGCAAATCCCCCTAGCGACCGCGGCATAGCGGCGATAGCAACAGCCATGGGCAAAGTAAAGCAGGTGAAGTGGGCTCCAATGGGCAGTGAATTAGATGGGCAAGGGGCAAAAGCAGGTGGAATGGCGGACAATCCGCGGATGCGGGGTAACACGGGACGCACACACTGCCGCGCTCCAGCGCCTGGTAATCTCAATGGTTATGGGTTTGGTGGGGTTGGTTTGGGAGGCCAGTCTTCCGCAAGGTGATGGAAGGAGAAGACTCCTCTTCAGTCGGTTGAATCTGCTGCGACCCACATGCTGAGAAACCCTGCCATCGGGCTAAAAGGCACGCCCAGAGGCTGCCAGACAGTACGACGGAAAAGCTTTCCATCCCGGCGCGCAAGCGGTGATAAATCGGCACTTGCGATGAGGTGCACAATAGGGCCTTATGGCATACCGAGAACACAAGGAGAGGCGGAGGTGGTGGTGCCGCGCCTCAGCAGCGGTAAACCAAAGGTAGGAACCGCCGTGCCGGGGCCATGTGGGGTTCCCCTCACCAGCATATGGTCGTCGGGCCAGATGTGGGTCAGGGCAGATGAGCCATGCGTCATGGCCGCGCAGAAGCAAAAGATTGATAGCGCCAAGCCTCCTGGCACGACTCCAGCCTTCGCCAGAGCGCTGCAGATTTCCAGTCATAGTATCAGGTTGATCGGTTCTGGCCCGGAGGTTTCACCCCTGTAGCTTTGTGTTGTTCAGCGCAGAATTGGGTAGCGGCAGCTTCTCACCCCAGTATTACGAATCCCAGGGTTGGCAGCCCGTGTGACCATACGTTGATGCGCTCGTAGGGGTCATAGAACACGCAAATGTACCATGGCGTATGGTGCCATGCACCAGCTGGGGCGCCAGCGGGACGGAATTTCATGCCGGAGATTGATGTCTGTTCGCTAGAAATGCCTGTAACCCCTATCAAAGGGGTATTACTACTTTCGGCCGTCATGGACAATATAGATCTGAAGTACTTTGCCGAAACGTATTGGTATCTGCAAAAAAATGATACGCATAGCTTCGTACATTTTTGTTGGACTTTCCGCCTCTGTTGCACATCCGACCTGTTTGGCTATAGGATTTTATCTCACCTCATAACGCAATTTAAACAATGGTCAGAATATTGGCCGACTCTATGCGAATTGGTTCGCTACGCTTGGCGGGTAAAATTTAAAAGGCGGTAACCGTAGACACTTTCCCTGCAAGGGATAACTTGGTGTGAAGGTGGTAGGAATGGACATAGACATTCCTGAAGCGGCGGCCGCTCAGCCGCGGGCAACGCTGGAAGCGGAGCTGGCTTCGGTATTTGAGGCTTTGCTAAAAGACGAGAACAGTGCGCAAGAGGTTGTCTCAAACATATACTTTTCATGCCTCGGAAGGGTGGAAGCTCTCAGGTATGCTGCTCAATCGTGTCCCGGCCCATGGGGGGCTGCTCCTAACCGCCCTGCGCGCCGCCGTGCCTCCCGGCTCCGCGGTTCAAGGCGTTTCGCAAGAAACGCTCCGGTCTGTGCATAAGGGTTTAAGCTGCTGCTGGCACGAGTGGGCCCGGGCCTGGCCCCTAGGGTTGCAAAAGGTTTTTGCCTATGGTTTCAATTATCCACTTTCTCCTGGTTTAGCGTAACAATTGAGAGCTTCGTACACGTCACAACCACGCAACTCCTCTCACTTCAACCAAGTCAGCGCAACTCTCCTTCACCCCCCACCCAGTCAACGGACTGTTTAGCTTCCACGCTTAGCTTGTACGGCAACCCGCACCACCGCTGTGCGAGGGGTGGCGCAGGCCACAAAACCCACTTGCCCCGTTGCGGTCGCCGGTCATAGTCGCCTAACTTATGGCGGAACGGCCTTGCTTGCTTTCCTTGGACCCAACAATTCACATCAATCATCAGGGCGGAGGCGGCCAACCAGCTCCATCGCCCAGCCCGCCACATGGCCCTCAAAGCACTAGCTGAGGAGATGGAGGCCCAGGCCGCCACGTGGCAGCTGCTATTTTGCCTCTACTGCGATCCGAACCCCCCCGCGGGTTTGGGCGGCTCCTCCGTGATTGGAGTGGAGGACAGGGCGCTGTACCGGCAACGTCTGGCGGACCGGGTGGAAAAGGAGCCAGAGCTGGCCAGGTGGGCTGGGATGGTGACGTGATGAGCAGGGCTGGGATTTGGGTTGGGGTGGATTGAGGACGGACGTGGGTTGAGGCTGGGGGGTTGTAGGAATGATGAGGGTTTGGGCCGGGGTCGGGAGTCTGTGTGGGGTTTGCTGAATAATGCGGTGATGGACGGCACCTGTGGGACCTGGGATGACATGGCACCAGTGCTGGATGCGGTCGATGCGGATGATCCTTTTCACCGGTTCCTCCTTCGCATGGCCACTCGCTTACCTACCTAGCGCTTCCAATACCTCACACAGCCACGCACCCGCCCACCGCTCGCGCGCTGCCCTCTCGGTCACTTGCGTTTGCGGTTGTTATGGTATGTTACGTCATGTCGCGGATCTCCGCGGATCGCGGCGCCCTGGCCTTCTGCGCACCTCAGGTGTGCGCGAGTAGTGGCCTGGCTGGAATCTCTGGCCCGAGATGCCCTGAAGCGACAAGGCATGGTGGCCTTTGCTCCAGGGGAGGGCCTGTGGCACGAGACCAAGACGGAGATGAGGACCCGGGCAGGTGGGTGGTTGCTGGGGGACGGTAACGGGGGGTGTATTAGGAGGGTGGGGGATAGTGGTCTGTAGGAGGATGATTGGCGATGGAGGGGCGGAGTTACGGTGCTTATTTATATGGGTTATACCGGGGTAGTGGAGCGATGGTGGGGGACAATACATGCAAGGTCAAGGGAGTGGCTGCGAACGTCTAAAGCCGCAACCGCAGGTGGGGGATGGGTGGGTGGGTGGCTTCGGATAGTTTTCGCCTAAAGTCTCCCACCATCTCACACCGCTCTCTTTGGGATGTTTGCGTTGGGTAGCATGACGGTTGGCGGAAGGTTCTGGGATCGACATTTTTCCATGCATCATGCACCCGCCCCTTCCTTTTCCGAGATACATACTGACATACAGGCATACAGGCACGTCTTCAGTGTGTCGCACATCGCCCCGGGTGCTAAATTTTGTACAAAATTACACGCTCACCCAGTTCATTCATACATGGCACTGCTGTCATCACCGTCACCGCATCACATTTCATCGCCGTCTTTCTTCACTCGGCAGCTGCTCGACGTATTTCTGAATATCGCAGGCGCCATGGTTTCGGAGCTGGACCCCGATGCCCCTGGCCGCACGGGCAAGCCCCTGCACCCGAGCAACGCCAGATCGCAGGAGCGCATCCTGGCTCGTGTGTGGCAGTGGATGCGAGGAGGTGGGGTCGGGGGCGGGTGGGTGGGTGGGTGGGTGGGCTTGCCAGGGAAGCCGTGCAGAGCCGTGCTCTTGCGATTCGCATACTCGCTGGATCAGCTAGATAGCCATCTGGTGAAGGCATGCTGCCATTCGCCCTGTGTGCTGCGACCTGGGGGGATAGGTACCTACCCCGAGCATTCGCGCGCGCTTCCGGATAATGCTTTGGCTCCGTCTCTGGTTCGTCACGACCCCGCGACCTCGGCCGTTCCCGTAAGGGGCATGTCTGAGTCGGCAGTTTTCTTTTCCCCTAACCCGATGCCTCTCAGGCAACCTGGTGGAAGGGGGGGACCTGTGTCGACAAGTGGGTCAGCCCTGGCGCGCGGCGGCGCTGGGCGGCGGGGGACTGTACGGCGCTGTGCCGGTTGGTATCGTTGCCGAGGAGTACGACGCTGGGACGAGCTCAAATGTGCAGGTAGCGTGCAGTTTGCCATGAGGGTTGGTTGTTGGGTGGATGAGGGGAAAGTGAAGAAGCCGTAAGATGCAGGCGTGATCAGATACCGGTAAATCAGAGGGGTGGGAAGAAAGGGCGGAGGGGGTGGGTATTAATCGTGTTAATTTTCCTTGTGTTGATTCCTTTCACTCCTACCCCACAGGCGCTCCAAGCGGAAGAGCTGGCGGACGAGGTGGCAAACGGCTCGGGGACGTTGCTGGCGTTATGGCGCTGGGCCGCACAACAAGCCGCAGCGGCACCCCCGGGGGACAAGTTTGAGCGGGCGGTGTTCGGGGCCCTGGGCGGCAGTACGGCTGCGGCGGCGCCTGCGTGCTCCAGCTGGGTGGATTTTGCCTGGGTGTACTGCAGGTAGGTTTTGGTTTCGGAGCCCCACGATTTCGTGACTCACTCGCACGTGGTCGCTACCGACGGTGATGCTCCCGATTAACGAAGGGCCGCTTACACCAACCCTAATGATCCTTTCCTTTTCACGGCAGCCGCACCTCTTTGCACCTAAGTACGCTTATGTAATGCAAGTGTCTATCTCTTTATTACAGTGTTGTCAACGAAACCTTTGTATCATATACCTACCTTGTCGCAGTTTGGTTCATCAACGATAGTTATATACACAGATGTTTTCATAATCTCGTTTCGTGGGTGAGATTTATAAGGAAAGCCGCGCGCACACACACATACACACACACGCGCGCGCGCGCATTGCTCAACGACTAGATCTCCGTTAAAGCGCTCTTCGTGCGACATCCCCAGCATGCGACTTCCATCGCGCGGTTCAGTTCGTCCTAATACACACATGCGCAGGTCCTGGTTGGAGACACAGACCCTCCGTCTGGTGCCCCGGCAGCCCCAGTCGGCGGGAGATCTGGTGGCCGGGGACGCGGTGACAGCGGCTCTGGTGCGCTGCGGCGTCGCGCCAGCGGCGGCACAGCGCAGCGTCGAGGGCGCTATGTCTGTGGTGATGGGCAGCGCCGCCGGTGCCGGCGCCTCAACGGCGGCACCGGCAGCGGCGGCGCTGCTTGACGGCGACACGGGGCCATCGTCGCGTGGTTTTGGCCAGTTTTTTGCTCAGCACGTAATGTCACCGGCGGCTTTGGTGAACTCCGGACCGGTTGCCGTACAAGCCCTACGACAGTTGCAGGGTTTGCTCGTCCAGGGCGACATTTATGAGTTGGCGAGCCATTTGTTTGCCACGCTTGTGGATCGCCACAGCGGTGACGGAGCCGCCGCCAATGCTTTTGGCGACGCTGACGGCAGTGCTGCGGATGTTGGCGGCGGTCTTGTCGCCGCCTCCGCCAACCCTGAGCGCAGCCGGCGGACTTGCGTGCTCGCTGCCCACATGCTGCTAGCGCTGGAGGGTCTTGGTGCACTGATTCGCAAGTTGGACGTGGATCCCAACTTCCTGGAGGCGCAAACGTAAATTGGGTCTGTGGGTGGTTGGGTGGGAAAAAGAAGACGCAATAGGGCCTTGTGGTGGAGGAAAACGGAGAGAATGTTACGGAGCGGGCTGGTGCAAAACGCAGTCCTCGGTGCGCACCCAACAGGACGCGTGGAGGCCTGTGGTCGCGTGTGGTCGCTCTGGAGGTCCTCCTTTTCCCGCGCCTGCCTGCGATCTCCCTCACTTCACAACTGTTTTATTGGGTCCTTCGTTTGCATGGCATACCTGGCGTGTGTAGAGTGGGGCCAGTGCCGGGCGGTGTCGGTCCTGAGTTGGGCGGGTCCACGACCACGACCACAATACGTGCTGCCCGCCGCTGCTGGCTGATTGACCCTTGCTAAGTGAGAATGACTGGAAGGTTGACTAAACACAGACGACGGACGGAGGCGGGTAGTGGAATTGGAGAAGGAAGCGGTGTTTTGGTGGTTCATCGCCACAGCGATTGCCCTGCGTTCCCGCCTTCATGCCTGCCTGCCTGCCGGTCGCTATGCTGACGTGCCTTCCTTTTATGCCTTGTCTCAAGGTACTCAGGAAGCTCACCCTCCGTTCGTCTCTTAACCCTGCCGCCACCCTGAACTGTCCCGACCCAACCCCCGTGCAGTACCTTTGACCTGGCGCAGCGGCTGTTGGGTTTCTACACGGGCATGTTGTTGGAGCAGGACCAGCTTAGCCTGGTGCCGCTGTACTTGTGTGTACTGCAACAGGGGCTGAGATCCAGTATGTGTAAGGAGCTGCTGGAGCTGCACACCAGGAGGCTGACGGGTGCGTGTGTGTGCGTTTGTTGGGGAGGGAGTGGGGTGGGGTCTTCACCCCAGGTGGGGGGGTGGGCGGGTGCAACTTAGGGGTGGGCGACCACACGACCTTCGTCCCGCCTGCGAATCCCTTTCATCTCCACGTTTTGGTCCCCATACAAATATTTATCGTATTATGCATTCCCATTTCCTTCTCGCGGCCTAATCCTTGAGAACACATTCGTACCCTAAGATTCGCAACCTCGGATATAACCCCAACTTTGTCCAGCAGTTCTGCTGCTGCTGCTGCTGCTGCTGCTGCTGCTGGTGTTGCTGCCCTTATCTCTTCCCACTCTCTTTTCCGTTCCCTCCCGCTCGCCAGGGGTTGACACCGTTCCATCCGACGGCTCCGACCAGGTGCTCGACTCCCTGGCCCGTGCTGACAGGGAGTGTTATGAGGCCCTTGTGGCACTGGATTACTGGTTTCGGCGCTGCGTGGAGCGGCAACAGAAGCCGCTGGAGGAGAGGTCCAGCTTCCTGGAGACAGATATCCGGTGCGGGTGGGGAGTGCGGGTGAGGTGGAGGGCGAGTGAGGTGGGGAATGGAAAGGGTGGTTGAAAATGAGAGACCGGAGTAATGCCAGTTGCAGCCCGGGTGGGAGATTGATGAGCTGTGGTGAGTGGGGGGTTGTGTCCATGTCCGTGATCCCCACTGTAGGCCTGCCCAGCAGGCCTGCATACGCCGGCATACAAAGTTTGTATGCACATTTGGTCACGATTCCCCTCTAATTTTCACAATTTTGTTTTCTCTCCGTATGGCCCTTAACTCTTCGCACATTACTCACGCTTTGGATATCATCTATTTATTCACACAGCATTTTTCATTGCTTGTTTGCATCCCAATACCACTTTCGTACTTGTAAACTACCGTTTTTCACCACCAACCTGGAACCGTGCTCCAATCTTCCCATCCCAACTCTACCCCTCTACCCTCCTCCCCACCCTCCTCGCATGCGCAACAGGAAGGACGAGCTCCGGGTACAGTTGGCAACTTTCACTTTCGCCAGTCGCCATAATCGCGAGTACGGCCCACACCAGCGGGCTCGAGTGGCGCGTTGGCTGGCGCTGCCCCACATCATCGCCGCGGAGGCGGTGGCAGAGGAAGCTGCTGAGCTGGGGGCCGAGGTCGGCGATGAAGCTGACGGCGCGACAGACGCGGCCGCGATGACCGCGGCGGCGGCGGCGCGCCTGGATCCGTGGTCGTATTACGACGTCTTGGAATTCGCAAACTGCCTCTGCTGCGAATTCTCACTGGGTGATAATGTGACGGCGGCTGCAGGGCATCGGCTTTTTGATGAGGTGCTGCCAGAGGGTAGGTGTGAGCTTCTATGGATTGGAGGGAGGGAGGGAGGGAGCCGCTTAAGGTCAGAGAAATGGCTGGGGACTTGGGAATGGTCGCTTTTGACGGCCTCGTGATGCTCCATAACCGCTCGTAACGATCCTTCCGCCATTATTACCATGTTGAACCACAGTGATCACCACCACCGCCATGTTCAACGGCCGTCGCATCATATAGCATCATGAGCACCGCTGCAAACCTTCAACCCTCTCAAGACCGCCGTCCTGGCCCGTACTCGGTTGGCGCTCATGTCAGATTAGATGGCCCCCTTCCGTCCCCTTCAGTCTATCCTTGGTATCAGCTTCACTCGTTCGTGGTTCGTCTTCCCCCCCTTCTGTACCAAGAAAAAGAGAACCCGGGTTCCGGCCCCCAGCTTCCCACTCGCCGCATCCACCCTGTCTTCTTCCACAGGCCAGCCAATTAAATTCCGACTTTTGAAACACTATCTACAAAGCTGTTCTTTTCCAGCTGCCCGGCTGTCGTTTCCCTCCTCACACACACCGTTATTCCTTTCATGTAACTTTTGCATGTAACTATCCCGCCTCCACTCCACGCCCAAAAAGCGTAGGCCTTGAGCAGGCTGCTACAATCGCGGCTGACGTCCTTGACTCGGTGGCGGCCGCTGCCACCTCAGGCGACGGCCCCGTATACCTCTTTGACCAGGACAGCAACGGCCAACAGCAGCAGGAGCAGGAGGGGATGGGTATGTACGGCTCGGATCCGGGTGTCATTGAAGCCCGGAGGGACTTGGCGGCTCAGCTCCGAGACCGCGCTGCTGAGGTGGCGCAATGGCGGTTGTACTACCATCTGGATGCCAAGCTAGCGGCGTGGTCGGCACGGCACGAGGAGTACGAGCAGGCGCAGGCGACGGCGGTGCGGCGGCATGACGAGGCTCAGGAGGTGGATGAGGATGCTGAGTTGGCGGGAGCGGCGGAGGAGCTTTTGCAGGAGGGCGTGGAGCTGCTACATGACTTTCTGATGCACCTGGTGCGCCCTGTTTCTTCTCCTTCATCGTCGTTTGTTTTCCCTTCTTCGTTCGCCTCTTCATCGTTCACTGTTTCTTTCCTGTTCCGGGTTTGCCTCTGTCTGTGTGTGTATTACTGAACTAAGCCGCGAGAAGGAAGTGGCGCCGAGAAGCTATACGGCTATACGATGTCGCATCTCCAGCCCATCCTCACCAACACCTACTGGCGCTATGACAGGGTTCCGTGTGTACGTGTGTTTAAGCGGTTCTTGGTTAATACAGTGCTACCCGTCGCAATACTACCTTCCGAATGTATCATTTACTTCGCGATACCTGCCCGCTATGCAGCTCCAGACAGGTTGGCAGCAGGAGCTCTCCACCTTTGAGAAGGCCTTGGCGCTCTCCGCCGCCTCGGCCGCTGATGGTCTCATGCTCATGCGAGTCACCCTGACGGTGACATGTCCCCCCGGGTCAGTGTCGGCACCGGTAGGCAGCCGGGGGGAAAACGAATGGGGGCAGCCCACGGCGCCATACCCAGAGCTCCAGGTAGGGTGCATGTGCCTGTGTGTGTGTTTGTGTGAACTTCGTGTAGGTGATCTGAGACAGGGTTGCGAGCATGTATTGCAGTATCCGCAATTGGCAGAATGTGTTCTTGTGGAACGTTGGCAAAGCTACAGGGTGATGGGGTGTTTCCCCCTAGGGATGGGGGATTGTGGGATATGTTTAAAAGAATCCTTAAGGATATTTGGATTTTTTGAGGCATCACTTTAGCACAGCTGCATCGCCCTCCGGGCGGCGCTTCGCCGTAACCAATTGTCTGTGAACTGCTAACCGTAAGCATTCCGCAACAACTATCTTTACCTAGGTCGTTGCCAGAGGGACGTCAATCGCAATCCTTTCAACGCTGGTCCCCACCCCACGTGCCCCTGTGCTCTGTGCCGCTGTATGCCGTTCTGTACTGAACTGTTTACTGTACCCTACTGTACTGTACGTTACTCGATGTGTGGTGTTGTCCTGTATGACAGGGCGCTGCGTTGTTGGAGTTCCGGCAAGCCCTGGATAGCGGATTGCGGCGGGCGGCTGCTGAGCGGCAAGTGGAGGTGGAGGTGGCCGAGGAGACGGGGCCGCAGGGGCACGGCCATGTGAAGCTGAGCCTTGCAGTGCCAGCGGAGGCGAGGGTGCGTGTGTTTTTGTGTACATGGACTGTACTGTGGGTGGGGATGGGTGGGCGGGTGGGCGTGAGTGTGACGGGCAATGCGGAAATGGCGTTGTCAAGAGGTCCAGATGATGCGTTTTCTCCCTTAGTCTCTTAAATAGCCATTCACAGCTGTCTTAGTTCCCTTGCCCCTTCCATTCATAAAGTGTTACCGTGCTCGGAGGCCCCCGGTTCGATTGTCTATTCCCTTGCCTCGCCTGCACCCACATCTATGTCGGTAGCCATCTTTGGCATTTGGCATGCGATCCCCCTCTACAGATGCGTTGACATACGCACAGGGCACCGGTTGGGCCGTAGCATGAGTCAGCAGTCTATCCTTCTTGGAAATCAATAGTATGCAGCGAGCTTCTTTTTTTTGGGATTCCTAATCCTTCCCGCTTATTTTATTTGTTGTCGTGCAGCAATGGGATGCATTGGTGGGCCTTGTGTGTGGTGTGGTGCGGGGCGACCTGGACGGCGTTCCTCCGCTGCTGCTTGTGAGCTTGGAAGCGGACCGAGCCACTAGTCTGGCGGTATGCAGGCGCTGCTGCCTCGGCCAGGTAAGGACCATGGCGCGGGTCGGTGGAGAGGTGGGGAAGAGGGAGGGAGAGGGCGCGGGTGGGTGAGAGGTCGGCAGAAAGGGAGAAGGGAGGCTAGGGCCGGTTCAAAACATTCCATAAGTTGCCTGCATCTTTACTGGTGCATGGAGCAGTACCCGGCTACATTGTAAGATGTGTGGGACAGGGGGGTTATATCTTCATACTGCGGCCGCTACCCAGGCAGACCCTGCCTTCCCCAGTCACCCTAGCCAACTTCTCAGTGGATCGCTCAGGTTCCACATCCACCACCGGCATCCAACGGAATCTGCCGGGTCGATGGCGGCTCAACTCCATTCCTGGTCAGCTCGCAAGTTCACCTTATCGTAGGTCACCACCGTCCATCAACTAGAGGCACTTTAACCTTCCACCTTCGGAAGGATTGTTGACCTTGACAGGTCTCGATCCCGGGATCTCCCGGGGGCATTGGTGTGTAGTGCCTGACCTGAGTATACATACATTGTATGTATCCTTTCCAGGTTGTCATGCGCTGTGCCGGCCTGAGAGTATCGCTGGTTGGGCTGGGAGCGGATGCTGAGTCTCCGCAGGCTGGCTCGCAGCTGGTGCTTTTGCTGGGAGTGCCGGATGAGGCTTCCGGGATGGGCATGGAGTCGGGGCTGCTGGAGCTCTTGAGCCCGTCACAGTTGGCTAACGTCCTGGCGGTGGAGTCGGTTACACAGGTTCTGCACATGCGGAACCTGGAGCGGTACAGGCAGCGGGAGGAGGAGATGCTTCGGTAGTTTTGCCGAACATGAAGATTGGATGTGTACGTGGATATAGTTGTAAGGCTTCTTGTTCGGGTTGCCTGGCTCACGGCCGTTTTTTCTTCCCTTCCGTGTGAGTCGGTTTGCGCATCAGTTGCCAACCCTCTGAGCGATAACTGTTTGATTCACATAATGGATGGCTTGATGATTGTGATGGACCAGCTCTTCAAGTCTCAGGTGCAAGTATTAATCTCATACAGGACCCAGACAAGTCATAACAACTACAGTGGTATATGGGTTCGGTTGCAAAATCGGTACAGACAGGCCATAAGAGATTTTATAATTGCAAGAGGTTGCCTACAGAAGGCGTGCTCTGCACGTGACCACCCCATTTACACCTTTGGGCAGTAAGAATGAAAGTGATTTTTCATGGCTCAGGCTTTGCCTTGTCCTGTACATCCAATCCAAACACATACCAAGCAGCTTCCCAGCAAATGATGTAAGGAAGTGTTGATTGTCTCGCTCCGCCTTGAAAGGTTGTACTCGCGCCCACGTGAAACACGGGTCAGTTGTCTAACATGTATTTGCATGAAAGACATCATGTGGAAGACTACAGAGCCTATCTAATATCCTACACTACCTAGAACGTCTCAAAGCCAATCTGCGTATCCCCGAGATGGGGCCGCACGAAGCCCCATGAAAATTTCGGGTTGGCGATTCGATTCCGGCATATAGTAGTTATCACATATTGGCTTTTCCATGGTGTAATCGATAAACCAGCGCACAATGCGTGAGGTGGGATGGCTCCAACGCTCGTAATAATGGCCGAGGATGTCCCTTGCTAAGCGGGGGGCAATGTAGCGACGCAAAGCAAATTTGAGCATCCCGGGTTATGCATTTGCTGTGTTACAAAACCCATAACGACTGCTTTATCACCACCTTCAGCACTAGATTGTCTAGCTCACCCTCGAAAGGTTGTGCTCACACGCATGTTTGACAGGAATCAGTAGTGTATCTTTCCCAAATTACCAATTCCCACTGGCTTACACCCTCACTCCTCCACCCAACTGCATCTCATCCACGCTCTTTGCCACCACAGGACATAGCACCACGCAGATGGCCAGCAGCTGGTACATCTGCTCGTTCTTCTTTAGCTCAAACTGCGGGCCGTTGTGATACCAACTCTTGTCCTCATAAATGCACAGCAGCACCATGTTGAAGCACCGCACAGTGTCCAGGTACCTGACGGTGTGTATGTTTAGGTTAAGACATGGGTGAGAAAGTATGGGGGAAATATGCATAAAACCAATGGCATCCACCGTGGCTGGGTCAGTCGATAACATTGTCTTCCACATGGCATGACATCCCCACCTGGCTTCACAGGTGGAAACATCCAATCGGACCTCAAACTATACCCACCTGCACAGCATCAGGTAAGAAAGCCACCATAGTAGAGGAGCATGATGTGCACGCCAGTGATGCGCTGCATAAGCAGGTACCTCTCCTTGTGCAAGGTTCAGTGGGTAGATTCACCTGCAAAGTAAGCGGGTGGGTAGTGGCCAGAAAGGATGTTGTCCCACAACTCACACCAAAGCTGCACAATTGATGCATGCAGCGTTGTCATGCATACCATTTCCAGTGTCCCACCTCACCCCTGCTCACCCATAGACTTAAGATGTTAATATTGAATGCTTTGAGACCCATACTCTTGAAGTCCATGTGTCCATAGAAGTCCATACAAGTCCATGAGCTGCTGCTGCCTGCTGGGTATGTGCCGGCCAGCACCAAGCCACCCATGCCACTGCCGCCAGCTGCCCCCACAAGGCCACACAAGTCCATGACCTGTTGCTGCTCACGGGGCATGAGGCCTGATGCACCGGGCAGTGCCAAGCCATCCACACTGCTGCCACCAGCTGCCTCCATGAGGCCACACAAGTCCATGAGCTGCTGCTGCCTGCTGGGTGTGAGGCCTGGTCTGGCCAGCACCAAGTCAGGGGGGAGGGGGGAGGGAGAGGGGGAAGGGGGGGAAGAGAAGAGGGAGGGGGGCAAATGGGGGGGAGATGTGTGTATCTGTATGTGTGTGCGTGAGTATTTGTGTTTTGGGAGGATAGACACTTCCCTTGCCACATCAGGATATTAGAGGACATATCCCAGCTACACCTCCAGCTTTCTCCTCCTGCACATGTATATGTGTAAATTAGGCATATCATGTTTTCTGGCCATCAAAACAATTTCCATTCCTTTTGTATACCTTGCAGTGATAAGCCAAGACCTCCTCTAATGAAGGTTTTGATCCATCAATGAGCACCACTGCTGCCAACCCCCCGGACCTAGCTCCAGCAGCGACCAGCAGGTATTTCAATACTATAAATTATAATTACACTGTACAGTATTGAAATACCTGCTATAGTTGCTGCTGGACCTTGGTGGTGCTTGTCGATGGTCCCATGGGACGTGGCAGCTGTGATATCATCTTCTTTTTCCAAGATGTATATAATGCCCAAATACCAGCCTCAGTCATTGCTCATGATCAACCTGTTTCCAATTCCAGAGCTACACCCCCTAACTGTACCCTAAGCAGATATAAAATTGACGACTTTTTTGATTCAGCAAAAAGGAGGACTACAGGAGGAAAACGTCCTCCCCTAATAGGTTTAGCGGAAAATGTCTTTTCCCAATACCCTTCCAGAGCCGTCCATGGTGATATTGCCTATTTTGTGCATTGGCTCTTCCACTACCACACCAGCTGGAGCATGGTAAGTAGCTTTCTCTTCCCACTCATCAAATATCATGTTTACTGGTCAGGAAAGCATGTTTTACATTTACGTCTGTTGTATTTCTTGCAGTGATAACGCAGCGAAGATCTCCCCAGAAGGTGGTGGTCCCACGGGACCATCGAGCCCACCGCTGCCGCCCCCGGACCGAGCTCCAGCAAAAACCAACAGATATTTCAATACTGTAACTTCTAGTGTAATTTTTATTCAAAATTACACCGTATTGAAATACCTGCTGGTTGCTGCTAGACCTCGGTCCGGGGGCGGCAGCGGTGGTTCCGTGGGACCGCCACCTTCAGAGGACATCTTGGCTGCGTTATCACTGCAAGATATACAAAAGACATAAATGAAAAATATATTCTTATGACCAGAAAACATAAAACGTCTGATTTACGCATATACATGTGCGGGAGGAGAATGCTACATACCAAGCTCCAGCTGGTGTAGCTGGGATTTCCGAAGATCCAATGGACGAAATAGGAGATACCGCCATGGATGGCTCTGAAAGGGTGTTAGGACATTTTCCGCCTAAACCGACTACAGGCGGACTTTTTCCTCCTGTGAATTGCTGTATCAAAAAAGTACTCAATTCTATATCTGCTACACTTAGAGGGTATAGCTCTGGAATGGGATAGAGGTTAATCACGAGCAATGACTGTATGTGGACACTATACATGTATTAGAAAAAATAGAAGATTACACAGCCATCACATTTTCCGGAAATATTATATATGCAGACATAAGCCCGTCCTACTTCCATTTTCGTACCATGCTTTTCTCACCAATGGGCCATGCGTGTTTTGGTCCCTCCCTCGGTCCTCGGTCCTCGGTCCTCGGTCCTCGGTCCTCGGTCCTCGGTCCTCGGTCCTCGGTCCTCGGTCCTCGGTCCTCGGTCCTCGGTCCTCGGTCCTCGGTCCTCGGTCCTCGGTCCTCGGTCCTCGGTCCTCGGTCCTCGGTCCTCGGTCCTCGGTCCTCGGTCCTCGGTCCTCGGTCCTCGGTCCTCGGTCCTCGGTCCTCGGTCCTCGGTCCTCGGTCAAAGCTCCCAAGATGGTGCAAAGGCCTCGCTGAATGGCCATCGACCCTGATCAAACCCGAGTCGATATTACTTGTCGTCACGCAATTTTCTTTCAGCGCAAAATAGAGAGGCACAGCCGGCCTGGATTTGCAGGCCAGCCGTTGCTATGTAAGGACTGGCCAGAGGCATCCCCTGCCGGCATCTTGTCAGTCGGGGGCGACTGCCATAACACGTATATCGCAACTTATCGACCCCATACCCCCGCTATGGACCATGGCGGCGAGAGTGGCTATGAATGGCGGAAACCATGAAATACCGCCTCCGCAAGAGGCCTGGAAAAGTTGTTAAGAGCTTGGGTTGGAGGTTTGGTCAAGTGTTAGTGCATTTCTCTCAATTAACAGTCAAGTTTGCGACGACTTTATTAATGGCACTTTCTTTACGGACGCTTGATCAAAAACATGAAGATTTTATTTTGGATGCTGTTGATATCGTCTTATCGCCGGACAACTTGGCCAACACCTTGTTGGACTTCCGTCGGACACTGTCGCGCATGTGGCGACTTCGGTGGGATAACGAACATAAGGGAGCCCTTTGGCGGCTAGCGCTTGATGGTTTCCCTGCCTTTCTTATGCATAGGGCGCAACGTCAAAGAGGCGTCCCTGCTGCTTTGTGTCCCTGTGGTATGCGCATGGTTTGTGGGGATCGGCATCATTTCTGGGACTGTACTGTCGCGTTGGCTCTTCGTGAGGCTCTGCAGAATGAACTAGAGTTTCCAGACCTGTTTAACTTGTGGTTGGGCATTCCACCGACCTCGGTTTGTGTGTGTGTGTGGGAGGTTGTTTGCCTCGCGGCCATCAGCTCACTCAATCTCGGTCGCCGTTTGTTGTTTAGGGAGGGTCTTCATGCCAACATGGCTATATCAACGTCATCGCTTAACCGCATTACTTACAATGTTATCTCTGATTTTTGGGCCCGTTCAACTGCTTTTGCGGCACGGGATTATTTGCCAAAACGTTGGGAACAAATACCTCACATCCACCCTTTTTTATATGTCAACCACGCAGACATGGTTGTTTGCCGTTTACCGATGTACAATGACGAGGTCTGAGGGCCCACGTCGGAGCCTCATTTTTTCTGTATGAGTGTACTAACTGAGGCCTTGTGTCCAGTGAAGTTAGTACGGCCTGGCCGAGTTCTTTCGAATAAGGCACAACACTGCACTCGACCCGTTCGGGGTCCACTGTGACAATCGCATCCTCAAGGGTTGCCAGATCGCCTATAAGCACCATTCAACCTGATTCTTGTGGCATGGAGCTATGTGGCGTGGGCAATCGGGGGCTTTTTGCCCTCATGCGCAAACTCAAACAAAACTGCATTCGGCTCCTCCTATCGCGTCCCTAAACTGCATTTTTGACTCGGTCCAAAGCAGTTCTCCAGGTTCAGGGTCCCTTGCGCTGGCAGTGATGATGAGCTGCAGAGATCCCGGAGTAACTGGAGCAGGGCTGGCGTATGTGGGCTTTAGGGGCGAGGGAAATGGAAGGCAACTTGTGTGGGAGGATGGCTGACCACTACCACCCCCCGGGATTGGGGGATTAGACCCCTTTTGCAACCCCCTGACTTGTGTAGTATGTGTCCTGCATTCCTTGAAGGCCTGTCTGACTATCCATGCAATCCCGCCCCGATCCAAGCAAAATTTTAGTAAAATTTATCCTTGAGTAATCGACCGGAGGATCGTGGGCGGTCGGGGAGGTCAGGGACGTTTTGCCCTCATGCACGAACTCGAGCAAAACTGCATTTCCGACATCATCTACATCTGCTTCTTCCAGCATCGGCAAGGCGGTGGAGTACAAGTGTGATTAACCGAGCAGAGTTGTGAACGACCTTCACTAACGCCTCCGGGTTTCAGTTGAACTATACCTATCGTATACAGCATGTGTTAAGGACTTGCACAATCAGAACGATACGCCTGCAGTGGCAACGAAAACATCATAAACCCTAAAACCCTAAGACCATGAAAATCCATTATAAGTCAGAACCAAAGATAAGCAACTGAAACTCGTGTCACATTAAATCAATATCAAAATGCATAAAACCACCCAATGATTCGTAGGACCCAGCCCGCATTAACTAATACCGTAGTGACAGGAAATTTTCGTGATTTTAATTTCGTGACGGCATCACGAAATTATGTCACATATAAATTACAAGCTGTTCCAGGCGATGGTCGTCACGAATATATGTGTGCTCCGAAGCCAAATCGTATAATGCCTTCAACACAGTAATTACTCGACAAATTCCACTTTTCTGGCCATATATACATCCATAGTAATTGAACGGACATGGATCCGAGGGCTAAGCGGCCTAAGCAACAAAGCCTCCTTCAATGCGGACTGAGGCGAACGGCCAGGCAGTTGAGGGCCCCCGCGCGCCTTGCCGACTACGCACACTAATCTGGAATCTGGTGTTTGCTGGTGTGCAGAATAACCGTGCATGCATTGGCCAGCTTTTGCGTCAATCGGCGTTCTGAGTCGGACCCATTAACGAATATTGCAGGCACCGTTGCTTCGGTTGCGTTGGCTTCTCACGAATTCAACAGTTTCACCAATAATTTCGGGTGTAATTTTGAGGGTGTCTCGAACAATAAAATCACGAACATTTCCTGTCACTACGGTAGGTCGCCAGCACACACAGCACGCCATTCGTGCCCAGCAGACCCATGTGTGATAACTCCGCCTCTGCAGCTCACCCCGGGCGCCACGACCCGCCGAATGAGAAGCGGTTGGCACAGCTAACGGGCCAGGCTGGCAGCCTGATGAGACCGTAGCTGTAAAAATGAAATCCATCTGCAACGGCCAGCATCGTACTGTCCACGAGCTGTTCCACCACCTCGAACCCTAGGATTCTCTGTGGGTTCACACACATCCTCCGGTAAAGCCGACCTAACCATCATTGACAATGAAAATCGCCTTAAAAATGGTCCATAGCTTATTGGTCAGTTCTAGCGGAAGCGCCATTTGGGGCCCCGGGCCAACACCACAAATCTGCAAAGCTACATTGGCTCCACCACCCCGAAATCAATATATCAATCCTCTGACTTGCGGATCAGAGCATCTTTTGAGCCCAGCCAGCCAGCCAGCCAGCCAGCGGCAATATACCTAACTATGGGAACCTGACGCCACGCGTATTTACTAGCTACCTGGCTTTCTGCATATAGGAGGAGACATTCAGGGCATATCCAGCTCCGATAAGGGCTCTTCAAGCACTTCCAGATAAGCTCCTCCCGGATAGGGGCCGCGGCCGCGGCTACGTTGTATGTATCCTTTCCAGGTTGTCATGCGCTGTGCCGGCCTGAGAGTATCGCTGGTTGGGCTGGGAGCGGACGCTGAGTCTCCGCAGGCTGGCTCGCAGCTGGTGGTTATGCTGGGAGTGCCGGATGAGGCTTCCGGGATGGGCATGGAGTCGGGGCTGCTGGGGCTCTTGAGCCCGTCACAGTTGGCTAACATCCTGGCGGTGGAGTCGGTTACACAGGTTCTGCACATGCGGAACCTGGAGCGGTACAGGCAGCGGGAGGAGGAGATGCTTCGGTAGTTTTGCCGAACATGAAGATTGGATGTGTACGTGGATATAGTTGTAAGGCTTCTTGTTCGGGTTGCCTGGCTCACGGCCGTTTTTTCTTCCCTTCCGTGTGAGTCGGTTTGCGCATCAGTTGCCAACCCTCTGAGCGACAACTGTTTGATTCACATAATGTATGGCTTGATGATGTACGATGGACCGGCTCTTCAAGTCTCAGGTGCGGGTGTCGAGGCGGTTAAGCCTCATATGACAGTTGCATCGTACAACAATTCGGTAGGAAGATTCAGCGACGGGCTGGACTCCTGTTCTGCAAGTTGTGAGCCGAATTTCGAGTTGTAGTCAGAGCCCTCGCCTTTTATTACTAAGTGGTTGTGCAGCGCGTTTACTAAAGGACCGCCAAAGCCGAGGGCTATCTTAACCAGCTATCGCCAGTCTTACAGTCATCCAGCAAGGCTTTAAACCGCCTGGCAAAGAGTAGCCCCTTGCGGGGCAAGTAGTTGCTGCGTTGGTTCAGATAAGGAGGGATGCAGGGTTCACAGCAGCAGGAGGAAATCCTTCACGTTGGCTTTAACCAGGTTTGTATATTATACAGTTTTGGAAGATGGCCAGTGATTATGTAAAGCTGGCTTAAAGGACGTTTTTACGCCATTATGTAGGATTACGGGTGCTTCGCGTGCGGAACAACTAATGGGTTTCGAGTCTATAATTGCGAGCCTTTTAAGGAAACGGTAGGAAGTTCTTGTATGTCTCGTCTGGGACACAGCGATGTGTAGTCGTTTCCCAATAACGCCGACCCTCCTGGTGCAGTTTTGTCGAGGCTTCAACAACGGTGGCATAGGCATTGTGGAGATGCTTTTCCGATGTAACATTCTGGCAATTGTAGGGGGCGGGGCGGCTCCAAGGTACCCCCCAACGAAGGTACGTTCCCGGAGCTTCGCATCCCCTGCAGTTGACCGTCCCTAACCCACGCCATCTCCCCTGCACCACAACCGCAGGTCATGATATGGGACGACCATCAAGGCAAATGCATCGGCGAAATGACCTTCAGGAGTCAGGTGATGGGGCATTCCAAATCAAAACCCTATCCCTCTTTTCCTACCCTACCCTCTTGCCCGCGCCGTCTCCCCCTTATCCACATATACACACATCCGTGCCTGCTGGCACTTGTGCTCATTCCTCCACGGGTTCAAGCACGTGATATATTCCTTCTCCTCCTCCCTCTCCACCCCTTCCACCCGGGGAGGGTAAGGAAAGGCAAGGTGACCCCCAGCAGCCCCAAACATTGTAACTGACTAACTAGACAACTAAATAATTAAGGTAACATTAGTAACCTGAGCACCCTGGCGTCCGTGTGGCTTTGTGTTTCGCTGCAGGTACGAGCCGTTCGGCTCCGTCGCGACCGCATCGTGGTGGCTCTAGAGCACAAGGTGCTGGTCTACAACTTTGCCGACCTGAAGCTTCTGCACCAGACGGAGACGTGCGCCAACCCGCGTGGTCTGGTGGCCATCTCCTCAACAGCCGCCATGTCCTCCGCGTCCGACAACACGGTGCTGGCGTGTCCGGGGTTGCACACGGGACAGGTGGGGGCGCAGATGGGGCGGGCGGGGTGCTAGCGGCGGTGAAGCGCCTGTTAATCACCCTAGGATTGGACGGAGGAAAACTTTCGTTGTACAACTAGGACAAGTTTAGCGAACCAGTGGTCGGAACGGGAGAGAGGGAATTGGGCCCAAGCATGGGAGCCACGCACTTCAGCGGGGTGGGGGGAAAGTGGAGGAGAGGGAAAAGGGGTGATTATTGTCACCATTGGCCGTGGAGCCTCTGGACCCTTTTGAGCTTAGGCTGCTGCCTGCCTAAGTAGATGGATGGCTGCCTGGGTTGCTAACAGAGGCTGCGGCAGCTTGACCAGCCCACGTGCCTGTCTGTCTGTCTGTCTGTCTATCTGACTGTTTGGCTGTTTGGCTGGGAGCCTGTGGATATTTATAATCCCCCCTTCCGCCCTTCCTGCTGCCGCTCCTTAACCATCTATGCTTTCCCTTTTTCCCGATTCTCGCGTAATCTACCACTCCATTCCATTCCCCTCCATTCTCTCTTCCCGCCCCCGCTGCACCACAAATCATCGTGACCTCACCGCTATGGATTTTGGGGTCCACCAGGTTCGCATTGAGCTGTACGACCGGCGGCAAACCAAGTTCATTCCCGCGCACAACAACGCACTGTCTTGTCTGGTTCTGTCCATGGACGGCAAGAGGTTGGTGACGGCAAGTGAAAAGGGCACCTTGGTCCGTGTGTGGAACACAGCCGATGGGCAGCTGCTGCAGGTGGGCGGGTCGGAGGGAAAGGGGGATGCGGGGTGTGTGTGTGGCGGAGCGGTGGGGGCAAAGACAGCGAGGCGGGGCTTGCATGGGAAGGGGAGGGGGGCAAAATTGTGACGGGAGTAATGCTACCTGGTTAATGCACCACAGGTTTTATACGAGCGAACAGTACGACAACGAGAAATCCGCGAATCGATTAAGATTACAAGAACCTGTGCCTTACTCATCCATGCATGCACGCGCCAAGGGAGTGAAGACATACAGCATAAACCTCAATCTTCAGCATCCACAACGAAGTATTTATCAGTACATAGGCTTGTTACATCCAAACCTCATTTGAAATCAAGGCGACATGACGGTAGAAGGACCTTTCTATAAAGCCGCCTCCAAGCACTGCAAAGAGCAGCAATTGTGGTGATGGATGGAGAAGTCCAGTCCTACGGCAGATGCTGCTGCCGTACCTGCCCTACCGAACCAAGTGATATGCCCATCTACCTGCCCTGTCGCCTGCATCTGGACTTCGCTCAGGAGCTCCGACGTGGTGCCGATCCAGCTCACATTTACAGCCTGGCCCTTAGTCGCGATTGCGAGTGGCTCGCCCTCACCTCGGACAAGGGCACCGTGCATGTATTTGCGTTGTCATCTGCCGTGGCGCTCACAAACGCCGCGGCAGCGGCGGGAGCAAAGGCTGGCGGCGGCGTCGCCGGCGCGGCGGATGAGGGCCAGCGCGGGGCGGTGCCGCCCGAGGGCAGCCCGGCGTCCAACGGGGCGGTTAAAGGGGTCAGTACCGAGGCGGCGGCGACAGGAGCGGCGGCAGCGGCGGGCTCCGTCACGACGCCGCCGCAGCGGCAGAATCCCACATCCTTCCTTAACATTGTCAAGGTGCGCGCTACTGTACAGCGGTCAGCAGCAGTAAGCGGTCAGCGCTTTCGGACTAGTCGAATGTTTGAACAACGCCTCCGATTCTGCAAGGGGGAACTTAGGGCCTCATTTATCGCTGAACGGCCGCCGGTATGCGGGTACTAGTATTCCGGCATCCATCGGTGTGTTTATCCATTTACCCCTAGTTACCCTTTCAATGACTATTACATCTGCTTCGTCATTTTTCATCGCTTGCTATCTGCAGCCCGCTGCTGTGTGATGATGGCGCTGAAACCCCCACGGCCTCCTCCCCTTCTTCCGTACAGGGCTACGTGCCGGCCATTCCGCTTCCTAAGTATTTCAACTCCGAGTGGTCGTTTGCTCAATTCCGCATCCACGACGAGCCCGCGGCCAGTGCCGGGCACCCGCTTCCGTCCATTGTGGGCTTCGGTGCGGAACCCAACACGGTGCTTGTAGTGACGGCGGGCGGCTCGTTTTACAAGGTGGCCTTTGACCCGGCCAAGGGTGGGCAATGCAGCCAGTTGTCATATTGCAAGTTCTTAGAGCAGGAGGTGGCGCTCTGAAAGTGTGCAGCATGATGGTGGGCAGGTATGGTCGGTGATGGGCAGGATGAACGAGGGGGGGGGGGTGCGAAATGCGATGTTGCAGGATATGCATTATTGGACTTAGGGTGGATTCTTTGGACATGGAGCATTGTGTGTTTGTGTGTGTGTATAGGGGTGTGTGCAAGGGAGGAGCCGTGTGAAGCATCTCGTGCTGCTCTGCACACGAGATGACATGTTGCGTGGGAGGCCCACATCGCCCAACCAGTTCTAGGCATAACGAGGTTGCACTTCTGGATGTCGCAGGAGTTGGGTTGTTGCGGAAGTTCGGAAGGAGAAAAGTCTCGGAGTGTTCGATATTGGTTCTTGACCTTCATTGCGCTGAAAACCCAGCCCCTCCTCCCACCCGAGACCGCCCTTGTTGAAGTAGGTGCTGCATTGGGGCGACGCTCGTCCTTGCAGGACGAGGGGGGTCGCTGAGAGGCGGGAGATACACCCGTCGTGCACTGTCCCTGGTGTGGGGTCTTCTCTTTGTACAAAGTTTGTCTGTGTCCGTATGTCTGTGTGCGTGGCAGGGTGCGGTGGGAGGTCTTGCTGGGCAGATGGAGGTGGAGTGAGTTGTTAAGGAGTGGCAGCCGTGAACACCGTGCCGCTGAGAAGCCTTTGCCCTGTCCTGGTCGAGGTCGGCGGCGTTTGTTCTTCACAGGTGCTGCTTTCTTCTGGATGCTGCTTATGGTGTTGACCGGCAACAATCGCCGCCACAGGCGTGAAGCCGCCATTTTGTTTTCATTTTTGTGTGCCCTTTGGTGTGTCCGGTCTGCGCGTGTGTTTGGATGTTAGGATGCGCATCCTGCTTAGGGTGTTGCGGCGGATGGCGTGACTTGTGCCGATTGGCCCATCCACTCACTGAGCCAATAGAGTAGTTGACAGCAACAGCAATGATGGCCACAGCAGCTCTTTCTTGCGCATGCTGCGTTCTGTGGGTATGCAAACTTATGTTTCTATGTTGCGCAGGATTAGGCTTGCTGCATTTGGTGGAGTGCGCTTGGAACGGATGGGAAAAAACGATTATGTACATCTTAATTTGGCTATCGAGTACGGTACATTGCACGACACATGTTCATGTGTAGATTGGAAACAGTGTGCAGGTTTTTGAGGATGGGAACCCTGCTGATCTGTTCCGATGTCCCGGCTTCAGCAGTTATATCAGGTTGACACAAAGTAATATCAGTATAGCAGTAGACCCGCGGGATCTGGGACTTCGGCATTTTGCATGATGTATGGTGGGAGTGGTGCGGTCGAAGGGAAGATAGAGGGATGGGCGACAGATTGGTGGGCAATTCCTTATGTTTGACTTGGTTTAAGGACAGCAAGGTTGGCCTAGACATCGGAAACTTCTATCCTCGCGATTTGGGGGGGGGGAAATGGAAACAAGGGATGAAGTGGTGTACTTACATACCTGGAGTGGTGTACTTACATGTATACCAACCGATATGATCCGGAAGAGTGGAATGCCATAGGACAGATGGGATTGTCCGCAACTAGTTCCTCTTAGTGCCGTTAACGGCAATCCTTGTTTTGAGCAGCACGGTCCATACAGTATGCACATACAGCACATAGTACTCCTATTTACCTTCACGAGGCTGAGATGTGCTCGTGTTTTGCTGAATCCACCAAAACTTACCCCTCCCTCCTCCCACCTGAGCTGACTCCTGCCCTTGAACAGCAACACCGTTTTAATCACCCCTGCTATCTCTAAGCAGTGAAGGGGCAAACCTGCTTCTAACAACTCATCGCAATCCACAAATAATGCCGGGGCCTATGCGCCCTGAGCTGAACATACAAAAATCTGCTACGGTTCCTCCACTGAAGGTCTTAGGTGAGCCCAACCGTGCAAAATAGTTGGGCTAGCAGCACAAAACTGCTTCCATGACCCGCCACTTTAACACGAACACGGGAGACAAGTAACCTTACTGTGTGCAGATGACAATAGAGTCGGGAATCTAGTGAGCTCACCCCATTACACACACGCCCGAACTGCACAACATTCGGTCGGTCAGTCCGCCCGGGAGTGGGCCGGTTACTTGGTGGGGGTCCTGAAGACAGTTTTCCGGTAGTACTTGAGCTCCTCAATGCTTTCCCGGATATCCGACAGAGCCGTGTGAGCCAGCTTTTTCCGTGGCGCGTTCTTGTATGCCTAAACACAGTGGTAACCGGTTGTGTGCATGTACACGTGCGTGTTCGTTTTTCGTGATCAGGTTCTTGACATCGGCGACAAAGCCAGTAAGTTAAGCGGCCCCCCCCGCATGACCAGGAAGGCAGGAAGAGCAAGGAATCCTGACCTGCGTGCGCGGCCTTCTCGGGCTGCCACAGAGTTGTCAACCTCCTCGGGCACTGACAAGCCAAGAAAAGCCACCAGATTGCTAAAAGGGCTGTGGACGAGCGTAAATGGCCCTGGCGAAGCACATGAGCCCTCGATGTGCACCTCAGGAAAGCTGCCGGCTAATCAGCGCTACAAGAAACAGATATACGCATCCAGACATCCGCACCCCATACCGCGCAACCTGCCCCCCGACCAACCTCACCTTGGGGTACCACCGCCGCGCCAGCTCCTTAATACTGCTCACATCCACAATGCGGTAGTTGAGGTAGGCCACCACGCGGGGCATGTACTTGAGCAGGAACATCCGGTCAACCTACAGTGAACGCCGTACAGCAAAGCGAAAGATCGTAATCCCAACTACTGACGGCTGTAATGAGACCCACATTATTGGCCGTTGTGGCGCCACACCTGCCGAGACATACCTAAATGCCAATCCCTGGGCGGCGGCAACTGATTCAAGATGCGGAAACCGAATCGGGAAATCTGTAAGGGTCCGGAATATCACAAGACCGCCATGATGTCCGTGTCCTCGATCGGCGATGTGGCCATGGAAGCGTCCTCTTATTACCTGCGCCCTTGCCCTCTCCTCCCACACACACTCTCGTGCAATCGAGCCAGTGGGGGAAAAACAACACTCGCGTCAAAACGCAGTGCGAGTGGAATGGGCAATCAACCCATCACGTAACCCACATGTATTGAATTCCCCGCCAGTTGCGCCATATTCTCCGTCGTGTGTCCCGAGATGAACGCCAGCAGCTCATCCTCCGCTTGGGCCATAGTGACATGGGTCTCGCGCACTCGCTGCGTAAGGCCCGACTTGCCATGGTGTTCCTTGCACCACGCATTCATGTTGTCCAGCACGTCGTCGTCCGCGTGAATAGCGGTGGCAGGGCCCTGAGGGGGGATTGAGAAAGCAGGCAAGGAGGACGAAGGATGTGAGGGCGGTACGGAAAGAAACTGTAACGCCCTGGATAAGCCCTCACCCTTTTGCGCCGTGTTGAGCTGTTTTCAACCGTACCCAGGAGAGCGGAAAACAAAAACATGGCAGCACAGGAAGAAAATGACAGCAGCAGCCTTCCGTCAATCCATCCATCCATCCCAGAATAGGACTGGCGGCTTTGGACGCGGATAGAAAAGCTGTGGGGTCGTTGCATATGAAGTGACAGACGCAGACGTGGCAGTGCCTGTCATGATAAGTCCAAGGAATGCCGCATTCGCCATCTGTGGCGAGGCGAGGGCAACAGTGCATGTGGAGTCATCGACTTGTGGGATGAAAGATATTTCTTGGGGCGGATAAGGGGGTGTACCCAGATCACGCTGCACCTGCAACTGGGCCCGCGCGCGCTGCATAGCGCACACACCAGGACTTCATGCTTCAGGTCTCCGTCCGTAATGATGCACGCCACTTCGATGATGGTATCCCGCTCAATATCCAGCCCTGTGGCCATTAAGACGGGGGGCCCATCGCCCTAAGTAAGCAACAAGGAGAAAGAAAGGGAGGAGAAAACCCCGTGGGGAGCAGGGAAAGAGGCAGAGAGAGATAAAATGGGTGATACAAAAGTGGCTAAGCTGCTATCCGTACGAGCCGACGGACGGACGAACGTGGACCTATGATAGTGGTTTAGCGGGGACCCCAGCACCACCAACCGGGCGAAGCCCAGCCTCCATCCAATTACATAGGTGTTGTCCTCTTGCCGGGAGGCTACTTCAACCATTCATCAGGATACGCGCGTGCGAGGGCAGTAATGGGGCGTCAGGGATTGGTACAAACTCCCAGTGCCGTCAGCAAAGGCCCATACCGAGCCGGCTATATGTTGCTAGCACAGTAAATCCAGTTTTTCCAGTCAGCTTCCATATGACTCGCAATTGGCACTCTGACTTCGCACGTCATGGGTTTCACCCGTGAGCAGCTCCAGGACTTTTTCATCAATCGGTCCTATTGTCGGCAGTACCAATGCACAGCTCCAGCATGGCCGCGCGCTTCTTGACCGTTTCTTATACCCGACACACACACCTGTCATTTCGAGGTCCACCCAAACAAGCGGATTCCGCAGCTTTAGTTCCCCTTTCACGGCCAATTTCTCGCCCCTGAACATGTGCAATACGGTGGTGGCCGTTTGAGAGCCATTAGCTTTTCGGCGCCCTGCTCAATTCAACTGGTAGCTTACCCGTCTTGCGATGAAGTAGAACTATCAGCAGATTTGTCAGCTACCGTAACGCTAGATGTAGCAACTGTTTCATCATCCCCGACGGAATCCAGTGCGGCGAAGGAATTGCTTGCTGCCATGCTGACTGCTGCCGGGGCTACCCCGGCACGGAGGCTACTTGGCTTTGCTACTCTGATGTCTAGCTGAATAGGACGCAAGGCAGCTTGCAAAGAAGGATTTTGAACGCTGAAGACTTGTCTCATGCGCAATCCAATCGGTTATGGAAACGGAAAATGTAATTAAGGAAAGCAATATTGCAATAATATCATACATGTGGAGTTCATAATTTTCATGCGATGAGTGCTATGCATGTCAGGCGGGATTGCGTACGACAGGGTTACCACGGACACACCCTCAGGACTGCGTGCCCAGGGCATGCATTCTACCAGAAAATATGAAACACATGCATCAGCACCTCTCTCGTATGCATCTGTCTTTGATCAGTATTAGGCCGAACAAATGCCTACCAAACACATTTTTAACATCCAGCTTGTTCCAAACAAGCGCTTAGCATCTGCAGTGCCTGTGTGCCGATCCAAAACCACGCATCCAGGCTACGAGCCGCTGTAGAGATTTCTGCATAGATTTCTCTCCCACAATTCGTTGATTACCCTGTTGACCATTTTGTACGCTAGCTTAGTCGTTGTCGGTATTCTAATATGCTAGGCTCCACACAGTGCAGAATGGGATTACACCGTGCATGCACTGCAAAAGGTGATCTTCTCACGTTACAGTTCGGGCTTAAACGCCACACGCCCTGTTGTCCGGAAAGGACCACCACACAAAATGCCTCGATCTGCCGCCCGATCAAGAGGTCAAAACCCTGATCCACTCAGGCCTCAACACTTCCACATCAGCTGCTTACACAGCATCAACCTTCACGCCGAAAAAAGTACAAAATCGGCAGCGTCATCACGCAAGCCAGAAGTTAAACTCCAACAACTTCGCTCCTCCAGCGCACACTGCACCCGCTTTGCAACAGCAACAGTCCAAGCTGAAAGAATTCGAAGCGTTGACAGACTGCGTCTAGACGACCCGATAGACTCGCTGCCGTCAAGCCCATCGACGAGTCTTGCGCAGGATGGACGAGCAGTGGCGAGCGCGTGAAGCGCAAACGGCGATTGCCGCTGCTGCTGTTGCGCTTACTGCTGGCCGGGCCACAGGCAGGTCAGGGGGATCTCCAGACCCTGAACATTGACGCTGTGCGGGACAGTGCAGGTGCCGATGTTCTGCAAGCACAATCACGAAAAACGGCGTTAGGTTCAGCCGGCTTAATGCGGGCAATTCAACATGCTGAACGCCTTACCTTCAGGATGTTGTTGCCGAAGGGGTTGCTCAGGTGAGCAGACAGGGCAGCGAGCGGGCCCTGCATAAAAGTTTCGGATTGCTGTCAGCATGCAACACAACAAATGAAACGGACCCAGGCGTTTCCCACTCATGTGGCGCCATCTCACCTTGCCGGTCGCCTGGGCCTGGAGGACGAAGCCCATGTACGCAACCTGATGGGGGAAAAAAGATATCACATAAAACATATCGGGACCTTAGAGTTCGGCATCATCCTGTCAAACATCATAGGCATAATAGAGATCACGGTTCCAACCCACCATAGCAAGGCGGCCGTTCTTGATCTCCTTGGTCTGCAGCTCCTTCAGGTTGCCCTTGCTGAAGCCTGTACGGAAAACGATTATGGAATAGACATGATTGCAAACATCACAATATTGTCCAATATGTGCAAAGCCAGTTGACTCAAATCCCTTACCGAGAGGGTCGAAGATGCCACCTGGGTAGCCCATCTCCGGGTTGGGGACCTTGTTGCCCTGTAAAAAGACAACCATTATCGGGGTGGAAGTCAGTCGCATGCATAGCCAAATGGGATGCATGATGTCAGTAGGGAAAGGAAAACCCTTAGATACCTCAAAAGCGCAACATGAAGATGTCAAGTCATGTATGCACCCTAGAGGTAACCGGATAGCTTTCATCCATCCCAACCAGCCAATACACACCTTGAAGATCGGGTCTGAGGTTGAAGAAGTGCCGAAGACCGAAGCGAATCAGCATACAGACCAGTGCGGGGCATACGAAAGGGAGCAGGAGTTAGGAGTAAGGGTCTGAACTGCAAACGAGCACACGGCATTAAACTGTAACAACTTCTGTTTTAAAAGCTTGTCACTTCGCGATGTCACATTCGAATCATCACCGGCATATAAGACCCCGGGACACAGACGGAAGCTTTCGCAAGCTCACGCACCCTCGTTCACCGAGCCGAAGTTCTTGTAGTCCTGCCAGCGGCGAACCTCAACCCAGTGCATCAGGATGAACTCCCACGCCAGGAGGCCACCCATGTTAACATTGGTGAATGGCTCCGGCAGGTTCTGCGGCAGACCAGCCTCATAGAAGTAGACATCGGGCTTCACGACCTCCTGGACCAGGACACCAGCAACGCCAAGCATAGCCCAGCGAGCGTGCACCAGCTCCGACTGACGGTACCTGGATATTCAAAGTGAGTCGGTCCCAGTCACATCTCTCTGCAAAACCTAAGCAATCAAAGAGGCTCCCATAGATTGCTTCATACGATACTAGCAGTCGCATAAGCAAATTGAAAATAATCTGTAATGTTGCATGCATATATGACCACCGATGATGAGACTGCCTTGCATTCTTAAGCCTTAAAGGATCATAATCCAGCGCACTCTGTCATTTTCACATGAAATAAGTTGTTTGTATTCATGTTTACTGTAGTAGCCACGCACCAGCGGAGAGCAACGGGGTCAGCGCCCAGGCCGAGCGGGTCCCAGCCGTAGTCACCAGCCAGCTCGCCCTTCAGGTAGTCCGGAGCAACGACTCCCGGAGCCCAGAGCTTGCGGTCAGCCGCAGCGCGCACCACAACGGCGCGACGACCAGCACGGCTGGCGACTGCCGGGCGGGTCAGAGCCGACTTCTGCATCAGGGCGGCCATCTTTGCTGGCAATCTGCGCTAGGTGAATTATGTCAAGCACAGGGCGACGGCAGACATTTCCCATTCGGCGTGCATTGTTATTTTGCCTTGATCAAGGCGCCGTACCATCTCTCGATCCGCGGTACGGCCAAACTTGCCAAACTCCTACCGAGTATCTTGCACAACATCTTCTTGGTCTATTTGTGTTCTTTGGTTGAAGACATTTTTGATTTTCCATGGTTCCGTTAGGCCAGCTTCAAATGTGTTGTTGCAAAATGGGCTTTCGTTGTTTGCAGCCACAGCATTCGATGTTGCTTACAATGCGTAAATTCCATTTATGAACAGGTTGTGAACAGGTTACGAACAGTTTTATTGTCACCATGTCTTGCCATACGCTTGGTACCCTTGGCACTCATTCAGAAATACTGCTATTATGGTTTGGTATTTGCTCTGGGCAACTGTCGTCCTTGCAACACTACTTGCTGATTCCTTCATGGCTGTGGTTGCCTGCTGTGATGTTACTATGCTCGTGGGAACTGTCTAGATGAGCCGACGCACAATAGTACCGCTTTCGCTTTAGCAGGATTGCTTACACTTATCTATCTTAGGAAATTCCATGAACCAAGGGTACCATAAGCATACAACCGCTACCTTCGACACAAACTTACAGCAGGCCCTCGGATGAAACATGTTCCGCAACCACCGGCTCTTTTTAACCTACGGAGCTATACTGACCCGATTTGATTAAATTCAATGTAAGCAAGTGCGCACAGTGTCCACCGTCTATGGTGAATGGACACTCCAGAGTTCCACGGCATAGGCAAGCCACGTACCCTCTTCTCTCTCTAACCCCAGCAATAGCATCCGGCCGCCCATAATAACTCCCGAAAGCATCCTGCAAACTGTCTTGAACCCGTGGTCATACATCACAGAACAAGTCCCTGCCCACCATCCCCTCACAGTCAACTCTCCACACAAACCCTCCGTTACTCCTCCCCATGCATCGGTCCGCCCCATGCATCGGAGGCCCCTTATCGCTTTCCACGTCGGCCCTTGCCCTGCACCATCGTGAACCCGTCCTCGTCAACCACCGGCCCCCGCGGCACCGGCGGCTCCAGGGGCATCGCCCGCGGCGCCTGTTGCCCTCCCGCCCCCTCCGCCTCCATCTCATCATCCTCGTCCTCATCCTCATCCTCCTCGTCGCTGGTCTCCATACCCGCGTCCCCTTCAGCCACCACAGTCCCGTCCAGATCCACCTGCGGCGCCCGACAGCAAGCCAACCAGTCAGTCAATTAATCCAACAATTGGTTAGTAAAAGCTTGTCAACAGTCAAAAGTTTGTTGCAGCGGTCGTAACAAAACGAAAGACCATGGACCTTAAGGGAGGTGAACAGTGGGGATAAAATTCGGTACATGCCTTATTGTAGGTGCTATACCTTCTCTTCCTACTATAATCAAAACCACACACAAAAACACGCGCACGAGCGAATCGACAGACACGTGCGAGACTTCTGGGTCGCACACTGCAATCATACAAACAGACATACAAAAAAGTACATGCAGGTTATAGGGAGAGGCACAACACAGCCGACGCTCGCCCTCCCTCCTCATTTCTCCCTGGCGCCTGGCCTTCCAACCCACCATCCCTCCCATCCACAGTTCCTACCAATATCTGGCCCACATCGCGCCAATCCCATACCTAGGGCAGAGCCGAATAGCCCCGCAGCCAACAGCGGGACCCGCATGTCGCAACCACCAACCGCATTTCTCCCCATTCCCCCTCTCTTCTAGCTACTAACTAGTAAGGCCCATCATCCGTTCAGGTCGGCAAACGGTTTTCCCTTCCCCTTATCTTCGAATCACTGCTGGCCCTGCCCCGTAGCCTGGTGTAAATCGTCCAAATGATCAGCTCCTGCCACTTCGCGTGCACAGGGAGAGTCATGCCTTTTTCCGTTAAGAAACGCCTAATGCTCACTAAGAGAGTTTCGCAATCTCCTCATCCCTTCCCCCCACACACAAACGCACACAGCAGCATAGAAATCCTCCCCCGACCACAGCACCACCGCGCCGTTCTCTTCCCCGTCCCATAATTCATGATCATCATCAAACCCACCACTTGTCGCTTGCTCCGCTGAGTTCCCGCCGCCCCCATACTCCGCAGCTGTTCCAAGTATGTGGTACTTCCCGCGACCAGCTCGTTGTGCAACTTCACAAGTGCATCGGCAACCTGGAAGTTGGGGTGACGGCGACGGTGGGTGCATGGAAAAGTGCATGTGAGCGGAATGGATGGGTGGATTATGCAGAAATGAGCGGGATGGCACGGCCAGGGCCAGAGCCGTATGTACGGCTGCTGTACCTGATGCGGGCTGCCGTCCTCCGCTTCCAAGTTGAAGTCCTGCAGGATGGCGTCATCAAGGTTTTCCTCCAACTCGTCCACGTAGTGCTCTAGCCGGGGGGAGCAGAGGGGGGAAAAGAAAGAGTTGGGAGCAGACAGATTGGAGGAAGAGGGAGGGCAGTACAGGCAGCGCATAAAGAAACAGGAGTTCCAACAATTGCAGCGGCCAAGCAGCAACGGTGGGATGGCGCGGAGGGCTCTCAAAGAGGGCGCTTGAGGCAGCACAAACTGACTCTTCTTGTTCCCCGCCAGGGGACTTGGGCGGGTGTTTTGGGGTCCCCGGAGTCCACGCATTCCGTGTGGCTGGCAGTGCGGGACCCTAAGCGAGGGGGAGATGGCACTAGATTCTGAGCCGCCCGGTTTCTCAGACAGCCACTGCCGCCCGCCGCTGCGCCGCCGCAGGTAACGGTGCCCGCCCACCTCTCTTGTTGTAGAACCAGTCCAGGCAGTCATGCAGTAGCAAGTCGGCTTTTTCTGCGCTGTTGCTCCCGCCCCACTGGTTCTCCACTGCCAAAGCGAGCGCCGTCCATTTCGAGAAGATTAGCCGAGCGCCTTCCTCAAAAAGGGGCCTGCTCTGCAATTGAAGTACGTTCTGTGCTACTACTGTTCCATTCCTAAGTTGCATCTTATACCAGTGGGCTTGCACGCAGGTGACCGTGCCAAGCAGCAAAAATGAGCGTCAAGAGCGATTGTCGTTGTAAGATAATTAAATCACCAAAAACGTTTTCCTTGATTTACGGATGCTTACATGAAGTATAATTTGCACTTCCTCGCGGAGGAAGGCCACCTGCTGGAGTACGACTGACCGTTAGCGACGGCCATTCGTTATCTCGTTGCTGCCAACCAGAGAGGAGCTGCCAACCTTCTCAAGCTTGTTATTAAGTCCATTGAAATCTGTGCTCTATTTCATTCACGCAAAACAACAACGCAAACATAATTGCAGGTCGATGAAAAATGGAGCTGTATGGCTCAGACAAAAATTCGAGGAAATACTCATAACCTCAAATACTTGTATCCGATAATGATCACGAACAGTAACCTGCTTGGCTGTAACGGGACGGAGGCCGTGTTGGATACCATGTGACCTCGGAGGTCGATGCTTTTGGCCTGAGGAAAACGGAAAACAGCCAGATGCCATTAAAAGAGATCTTTGCGTTGAAATGCAAAACGTGCGCTGGGTCGCCCTTGGTTAGCTTTACTGATGTCCAAAACCAGCAAAGTTTTGGAGGGAAGGGCTTACAGGACCTAACGCCAGTATCCATCCTTGGCGAGGCCTTTCTGTGGCCGCCTCGAATACTGTGTGTCTTCCCTTGCTCGTAACCCTATCAATCCAGCGTCGCTCCCAGTGGGTGCGCTGTGAACAGGAACAGGCGAGAGGAGCACTTTTAACTCTGAAACGGATTGTAGCCGACCCTGATTGTAAAAGCGGGCGTGCCACGCGCATCTGCTTGTGCATTTCCTGTAACCCAGAGGATGGCAGTACTCGTAGGAGAACTGCAAAGGTCTCCAGGTGGTTCGGAGGCATTAACGGCCATACAATGAGGAGATCCTGCACCTTCGCAAACCGAGAACCCCATCTGCGACGCACATAGACACAACCTGTCCTGACGGATTCCTATTGATGGCAGTTACGCTGCGGAGGCTGCAGTCCTCCGCAGCTTGAAGGGTTTGTAACCAGAAGGAACTGAATTCGACGGAGGGTCTCCGTGCCGGAACCACACCGAGCCTGTCTTAATCCTGGTTGACAGGGGTGTCGTCGCGTTTCCAAGAAGCAGTTACCATCTTATCCATTATAGGTACTCTTACATGTTACTTATCTATAAACCTCAGGGAAACACGCTTGCAATTGTGGTTATTCGTCGCAACGCAAGCCGTACACCCTGGATTTGTAGAAAACAACGCGCACCATTACTGCGGAAGCTTTTATACCGTTTCACTCAGTGTAAGCACCGTGAACACAATACCTTGATTAAACGAAGGCGGAATTATATCAGTCAATTAAACGCGCTGTTCTAGCTGTTTAAGATGGGCAGCCTGCAAGCTGACCCGCTCGATAGGCTTGTGTCAGGAAAGCGGGAGTTTGGAGAGTTCGGTGGTGTTAATGCTTCTGTTGAAATAAGCACAACCTTTACAGGTAACCTGCTGCAAGACGCTGCTGCCACTGCTGCCATTGTGGCCTGACGTTGGCCTGCTTGGCCTGTGTGACGTAAGCCCAACGCTCCCATTATTGCAGTGCTGGAAGCGGATACTCTGCCGGCTATTTTCAGTGGAGAAGTCGGCCCTGAGAAAGGTACTGAAGCCCTAGTTTCTTTGGGGAGTGGGACGGTCGGGCCGTTCCTGCGATGCATCGAAGTACATCAATAGGCGTTACAACTTTCCAAAACATGTTGTCCGCATGGACGAATTCCTTTAGGACCTCCCTCCGGAATACGTGGCATCTAACCGCAGACTGCGGGAATCGCGGCAATCCATGTTATTAAGTATTTACTCCTCAAGTGTTGCGGCTGACGAGGGATCAAAGCGACCATTATATATTCAAATGAGACCTGACGTTATAATTGTCTACGCAAGGAATACTTCCGCGTGGCCGTGCAAAAGCGCAGGCAAATGTCGCCCCAGTTCCGCCGGCGGTCCACAACTCGGACTGCTGCTGAACCCTGCTTTGTGCTCTACTACACCTCAGTAGCCATTGCTAGGTGCAGTGGCGTAGCGTGACGCTCATAGCATCTGCCCTGCCCCCTCCAGGTGGCTGCTATGTGTACGGCAGGGCGTTCAATCCAACTGTACGGCATTTGGGACGCCTTCTAGCCGCGCTGGAGGGCTGCGAAGCAGCGTACCCCTGCAGCTCGGGTGCGCGAATGCCCTTTTCTTTCCTCTTTGTTTCGCCATGTTCCATCCACACAGCTTGTGTTGAGCAGCAGCAGAAGCATCAGCTGGATAGTTGAACTGCCTAACCTACATGCTATGTTCATGTCGTACACCGAACTCATTCCAACACAGGCATGGCGGCCATTTCCAGCACTCTTATGGCCCTGTGCAACCAGGGCGACCACATCGTGGCGTCTAACACCATCTACGGTGGGTAGGGGGGAGGGGGAGGTGTGTAGTAGTGAGTGGGGGGTATTCGGATAACAGTAGCGGGATGATGCCACCAGTGTCCGGGTACGACAAGTTTAGTTGGTTACCTAATTTAGGCAGTTGCACTGGACCAGGAAGTTTCGCCGGACTCGCAAGCTCCCAGACACGCACACGCACTATAATTTCTCTCTTCACCTGGGCCTATTGTACTTCGCATAATTGTAGAAAAGACTATCGCTGATTGTTTCGCACCTTAGCCAACAATTCGGTGTGCCGCGATGTTCCGCGACATCCCGCTGACGTTGACGGCCTTCTGGCACCTCCGTGTTGCGACCCACCCCACCCCAAAGGCGGCAGCCATGCGCTGCTCAAGACGTTCCTCCCCACCAAGGCCGGCGTCACCACCACCTTCGTGGACATCACCGACCTAGAGGCGGTGCGGTCGGCGCTGCAGCTGCACCCGGGCCGTACCAAGGTACGACAGAGCGATCAGCTTGCCCGTTGTACCTAATTTACAACTAGGCATACCCAACATGGGCCGCGGCTCCTCTCGCTAAGTACTTACCTGTACTTACCTACCTACCTATCTATCTATCTGGGGCCGCATCTCAGCCTAGAACTGGCTTACCGTAGTGCACCTACCACCGACGTGCTTACCAGCTCTACCAGCTCATAGCATATCTGTCTGCCCATCCGAGTATCGTCCGGAGGCGCGCTCATCCATGTACAGGCGCACTGTGCCATCGCTGCCGCGGCCTCCTTTCCTTTCCGGTCCTTCCTTTCCGGATTGAAAACACAGTCGCGGCTATCCGGCTACCCGGGTTCCGTGCGAGGTCCTATTACTGTGCGCCACCGCAACCTTCTCCACACGGCAACGCTCCCAACCGGCAGCGCCCAACTGCCAGCGCCAATCGTAGTACATATCACGGCTATACACATGCAACCTGTCACAGCAACTACCCTCCCCCACCCCTCCCCTCTCTCCCAATCCAATCCCCCCGGTTACCCCGGTTCTATGGCACAACACGGCGACCCACACGGCTGCTGCAGGTGGTTTATACGGAGGTGGTGTCCAACCCCACACTCCGTGTGGCGGATATTCGGGCGCTGGCTGAACTGACCCACGGGTCGGGAGCTCAGCTGGTAGTGGACAACACCTTCACACCCTTTGTGGTGACACCCAAGCGCTTCGGAGCTGATGTGGTCATTCACAGGTAAGGAGGAGGGGGGCTAGTAGGCCTGCTATGTCTTGGATGTTGGGGGTTGGTTATAAACAGTTGGTACGGTTGGTACGGTTTTTTGTGGTGTTTGCGGTAGTACACGGCGACGGCATTGTAATTTCTGCTCCGGAACCACCTCAGCAGGCCGAGGGTGTGACACAGATTGCCGAACCCGCCCCCGCTCCCGCTCCTTCCCACTTCCCGCAAGAGCTAATGAGCAGTTGCCTCATCACCGCACTGGGCTCCTTCGGCAGTTTGCGGTCTCTGGCAGCGTCTGACTCGGCACTTGGCGCGTTGATCCCCCCCTACCTTCTGCCTCAACGGCCGGCCCCCTCCCTTTCCCGCCCCCCCTCCCCATGTAAACGTAACCCCCCAGCCTGACGAAGTTCGTGTCGGGAGCATCGGACATCATCGCAGGCGCCATCTGCGGCTCAGCCGCCTTCATCCACTCGCTGATGGACTTCCACGCGGGCCCCTGCATGCTGCTGGGACCCACTATGGACCCGCGGGTCGCTTCGGAGCTGGCGTTACGGCTGCCTAATTTGGCGCTGCGCATGCAGGTGCGATTTGGGTGTGTGTGTATGTGTGCTTCTCCGCGGGGTGTGCGCGCGCGTGCTTGCGATGCTGTACGGCGGCGTTACGAGCCCCCTGCAACATTCCCATTCCCCCCGGTCCTCTCCTCCATACGCCGTACCTCCGTACACCGGCCATGTTCTCGTCGGCCCTCATGACGCTCATCCTTAACCCGCCTCTTGCGTTTACCCTCGCTTCACCCATCCTACAAGTGATGTACCCTCCCCCATTGTCCACCCCTCCTTTTTTCTCCACACCTCCTTTCCGCCGTGCTCTTGCCGCCACGCGGTCTCGGGGCTTTCAAACGCACTTGACAACACACACACACACACACATGGACATGTGCAGGAGCATGGCCGCCGTGCTGCTACCTTTGCCTCCCGTCTTGAAGGTCTCGGAGCGGCGGTGACGTACCCAGGGCTGCCCAGCCACCCGCAGCACGGGCTCATGGTGTCTCAGGCCAACGAGGGCTACGGGCTGGGGGGCTTGCTGGGAATGGACCTGGGTACACCCGCCCGGGCGAATGCGGTGAGGGTGTGTGTGGGGGGGGGGAACTTGAGAATGCGGGGCGAGTGAAAGGGGGGGAGCAGGAGGAGGGGGAGCAGGAGGAGAAGGCGGGAGGGGTGCGGGAGGGGGTTGCGGGAAGGGGGGAAGGCGTAGGGAGAGGCGTAGGGGGAGCAGGAGGGGAAGACGGGGGAGCAGGAAGAGGAGGGGGAGGAGCAATGAAAAGTGAAATCAATCCCATTCCATCTTGATGGACCTCTTCTTCCCACCACTTCTCCCCCCTCATAAGCTGGTGCTCAGGGCCTTAGGGCCTCAGGTCACAGCTGTCCCTTTCAACTTCTGCTGCTGTGGCCCCAAAATAACTTATTACTTTCCCATCTTTGTTGTAAGGTGGTGGGATGATGGGGGGCCTGAAACCTCTCCCTCTCCTTTTCCCACCTCTCGCGCTCTGTCTCTCGTCCTCTTGGTTAACTGTGCAGTGGCGCTACCTGATATCCGATTCGACGACCCCTTCTCCGTTTTGTTCCTTTCCCCCATACGGCGGCCTACCCCGGCCAAACCCTATTCCTGCGGGCTCCCCCATTCCCCCGTCCTTGCCGTACATCCCCCCCTGCCCCTTTTGACGATTGCGGCCGCCCTGGATCTCCCCCGTGACCTCCGCCGTACAGTTTATGGAGCGGCTCCAGAACCGCCACGGGTTTGGTTTCATGGCCGTCAGTCTGGGGTACTTCGACACGCTCATGTCGTTGTCGGCCGCGTCCACCTCCTCGGAGCTGTCGGAGGGCGACTTGGCGGTCTCGGGAATCGGGCGGGGCTACGTGCGCATGTCCATCGGCATCACTGGTGGGTGCCGTGTGTACTCACGGTGTGACGTAGTACGACAAGTACGACAATCTTTCATATCTACCATCGCGAGGTAATCTGCAACTACCACAACCTACCACATCTACCATTAACCGCCACCACAACCAGCGCAGCTCCCAAGCGGCGGATATTATTTTATTGATGTGGATGATTAGCTGCGGCGGAGGAGGAATACACACCTCTAAACCATAAGTCCCTCTCTTCCCCCTTGTTTCTGGAGCAGGTACCTTGGAGGATCGTTGGAGGCAGCTGGAGGAGGCTTACCGCTTCGTAATGCAGCTCGGCCCGGCAGCGGCGGTGCCGTACAGAGCCGTCAAGATGCGCCATAGCCCCTCCGGCGCCGTTGAGCAGCTCATCAGCTGGCCGTCGTTGGGGTCATTTGGCGCCGGAGGCGAGCCGGAGGCGCAGCTGGGCACTGGCGGCGGCGCCGCCGCCGCCGCCAGGGTTCCTATCGGTGGCCGCGACGGCGACGGTGGCGGCGACGGCGGCGGAGTTTTGGACGCGGGTGGCCTGTTGGTGCTGTCGGAGCCAGTCGCCGACGGCGACGACTCTGACATCACATCCGCGCCGCCGCTGTCGCCCATGCAACAGCTGCCGCTGCCGCTGTTGTCGGTATTCGCCATGGACCCCGCTGTGCCGTCGCCGCCGTCCCCTGGGAAGGCCGAGGGCGAGCGGCGGGACGTCTCGGGGTTGGGGATGGTGGAGAGCGTCGGGGTTCCTCGGCGCATTTCTGGATCTGGCTCTGGATCCAGCCGGCCGATTAAGATCCGGCGGACTGGATCCGGAGAGATCCACTATGTGGCGGTGCAGGCTCCGGCAGCTTCTGGATCAGCGGCGGCAGCGCCGCCGCCGCCGCCACCACCTCAAAACGACTGATGAATGGGCTGGACGACGGCAAGCGCCGCGTCGGGTTCTCCTGATGCTATTGCTGACGACAGATTGCGCGTGCGGAGGAGGGATGATCCTGTAGGGATGTAGGGATTGATCCAGGTGAAATGAGGCGAATGATAGACCGAGTCTCAGCGCTTCTTATCTCGAGTGTTAAGATCCCATTTTACGAAGGTGATTGCCACACGACTGGCCACGCCAAGTTAGGCTCTGGGAAGTGCTGCGAGCCCTGCAGCAAGGAGAGCGGCACATAGGGCCCTTTTAGCGCGAGGGGAGCAAGGCGCCTGGCATCTCCTCGCAGCGGTCATCGTGTAGAAAGCAAGCAAGCAGCGTTAGAGACAGACCTGCGAGGCAACATCCTTTGCGGCCCGCGGCGCCTTTCCTCCCGCGTTCCGTTGGGAAATCGGCCGTCGTGTATTTAACTGCTGTTAGTGTGCTTCGGTGCTTCAACGGTGTACATTAAATTACGCACATGCCTGTGGCTCTCGCGGCAGTCTAGTATATAATTATAAGTCATCTAGCGCTGATAATCCAGGTAAATCTTGCCGTATCAATTCATTTTTCTTTTTGGAGTGAGACTGTGTCGATGTACAGCGTCGAGCACCTTACCGGTTATGGACCTCGCAAGGGCGTTTAATGATGATTTTTTAAGAGGTTTGGAAAATGTTTTTTTGGCGGGAAGGCAGACGTTTTCTGAGATTATTTTTGTATGTGATTGGGTGGGTGGGTCAGGAGCGTGTGGTGGCACCGCTGGTGGCTGTGGGAGTGGTGGATATCGTCGGTGTCGGATACATACGGAAAGCCGATCCTCCTCCTGCTCCGCCTCTTTCGGCATCGCCCCCCACGACGCCGCTGAAGCACCAACACCACCGCCACCGCCGCCACCCTAGCAACCTCCTCCTCGTCCTCCCTCCTTTCCCGTTCCTTCACATGAGGGTGACTGGCCCCCTAAGTGTCCGGCCTGTTTATCAGAGGTTTGGCTTATATGCTTTCTTCGAATCAGCACGGGTGGGGTCACCCCACTGGGGTGGGGGGGTGCGGGAGGTTTGTTTTACCTGTTCCTTTTCATGTGCTGATGTACGATATACGTGCCGTAGATGTACTATATATGCATGCCATACGGCTGATTGTACGATTTAAAATGCACTTGCATGTCAGTGTTGTTGTATCATACCGCCTATAGCAAAGGTCGTTACCGGTTATTGGCCGTTGACGGGCATCTTGGGCGGTCACCCAATGTGGTGTACATTATCGACTTTTTTGTTTTGAGTTTTGTTTGTGCAAGTTGCCGGCGGCGGTCGCGGCGGTCTCTGCGGTGCAGGAACGACATTCGCCCGTTTCCTATGTCGCTACTGCCAGCACTGTATATGAATACGATCAGTGTCTGTTTGTCTGTCTGTCTGTCTGTCTGTCTGTGTACGTGCCGTTACCGGCGGTCCCTTTCGGGTGTTCCTTTAGGCGCTGCGGTCCGGAATGGCTTCTACGGGCCCCCACCCTACAAGGAGCGTCTGTTTGCACAGCACCAATGTGGCGGTTTTGTGGTGGATGTAGGCCCAGGCGCCGCGGAGTAGGTTACCCTGCCGCCGCGTTTTGATATTGGTGTAGCCTGACCTCTGTCGCGTTGACCCGCGTTGACTGGGAGGTTTGGTGTTGCGGGTGGTTATGCGGCTGGGTGGTGACGCACTGGGTAGTGGCAAGGCAACTAGGTATGCATGTATGTCTGTATGTGTGCCGCCTCTTCGTGCATAGATGAGGGGTAGCACCCTTTATAGCAGCGTTTCTTGAGTTTGTTAGTCCAGGTTGGATCCTGATGCGAGGTGAGTTAGGGTTGCAAGTACGACAGTACGACAGTGTTCTGACATGCGGACAGCGGAGCTTTACACGGTGCCCTGCTATAGCCTTGTGTGGCGGAGGTTGGATGTCTGGCTAGGTGGAGCCCCGGGTTGCGGGGCTGGCTGGCTTGCTGCTATGCAAGCAGCCGTTGGCAAGGAAATGCCAGCGGCTCTATTCCCAGAGAGCTTAATAGGAAGGGTGAACATATGTGCTTAAGGTTGTCGGCACTGCGCTGCATAGGTGTGTGGAGAAGAGGGTTAACATGGGGGGCTCTCCATGCAGAGGCATTGTCATCTAAGGTAATCAAGGGTTAATGGTGTAAACGTTTGACCTTGACTTCTGATTTTGAAATCGCGCAAACTGTGGCGCCAAAATGGTTCAATTTTGAATTTGAAAAGAAGTTTCAGATCGTACAAAACGTGTGCGGCATGAATTACTGCCCGCGGGCGCAGTCTCACTGTTGTCGCTTCCATTTGCCGCTTTATCATATGCCGCTTTGTGCGGTTACTTGCAAATGCCAACGACTACAATCCGACTACAATCTTGTCCATGTTGTCCAAGTCCAACCCCTGCCCAGCAACATAAATATCCTGCTGTGCAGCATGACCCGAATGAGTAAAAAAATTTAAAATTCAAAAGGACAACAGCAGACGGTATTGTCCCCCAAACGCATACGTGTTCATACGGGTCGCCCCTTTTGCTCTTTCATCCCCCTTACGTTCCCCTTACATTCAGTCTTTACTTTTTCCTCTCCATAGCCAATTAACTGTCCAGCAAATTGTGAACGTGAGAATGCATGAACGAATGGCGTTGCCGTGCCTCCGAACAGCTCACCGCAGTAGTAGCGCTGGCCGCATAACCGCCCAAGCACTGTGTTGGACAAGGAAAGGCCCTTGCTAAGAGTTAACCGCAGGGCCTTGATCCCCGCCCCAATAAGCAAGGCCCACACGAAAAAGGGAACCCAGGATGACGGCCACAGAGGGGGAGGTGCTGAAGACCTCAACCTGCTGGCTACCTCCTCGGAACACATGCAGGCCCTGCTGCCTCGGTGTTTTGTTGTTAGTAGGGATTTGGTTCCTTTATGGGGCTTTTGCCTAATAACATTAAGAATGACGAAAGCTCATGGCTCTTGCTCACTTGAATGAGTGTGCCTAGCACGGCTTACGGCTGCTGGTAGGAGATGCTAATTCTATCCTTCGGTTGACACAAACAAAAAACAACAGTTAAGCAATCGACCATGTACACAGCCACGCAGGAGCAGTAGGAATACAGTGGCGCTCCAAAATGTCTAAAGATGTACGTAGCGCACCCACCCACCCAGCTATGCGCTAGCGACCATCCCTCGCTGCACACCACGCCTGGCGTTCTGTTATTTCTGCGATGTCTGTGACCCACGGGTCGCCAGCTTGCCGATCGCGGTTTGAACACACGTGTCACGCAAAAGCCACTCTACTTGCTCCCGCACCATGCGACTACCGTTGCTACTGCTACTGCCGTTGCTACTGCCGTTGCTACTGCCATCCAGGCCAGTTAAACCTCCTAACTGGCCTTCATCGCTCCCAACACCAGCAACATCAAAGCTGCTACTGCTACTGCTACTACTGCTATGCGCCACGGCAGCAGCTTCAGCGGGAACGGGACTAGAGGGCATGACAGAAGAACCGGGAATAGCAGCAGCCGCAGCAGCCGCAGCCCCGGCTGTTCCCACAGGCCGTGGAACCGGTGGCGGCGGCGGGCCCGGCCGGCAGGATACATCCGGTGCCAGACCCACTCGGTCCACAACGCGCCGCGCAGGCGTGACGTACATGTCCGTACTGACCAGCAACGTGGCTCCACCAGACAGCTGTATGACTTGCTGTGTACGGCCTTTGCCGTACGTCCGCTCGCCGATTAGCAGCGCGTGTGCGTCGTCATGTAGCGCACCGGCGAGGAGCTCGGAGGTTGAGGCGGAATAATGGTCCACCAGCAATGCCTGCGGGTTCTTAGGTTTTTAGTGCTTTGTGATGTTGGTTGGCTCGTTTTGTGTTTTGATGGCCACTATATAGTATACGGATCACCAACATATAAAATTGCACTACCAATCTTAAAAGCAAACGCGACATGTATGGCATGTTAGTCATGGCACCCCTATAATTTGGATTTACACTCAGCAGGCGAGGGCGTAACTATCCATGGCAGGAATGCGAGATGGGAGAGCGATAGCTCCTCACAGATCATGATGACTACCCACTCCTTCCCGGGGCCGTGCTGCCGTTTTCGCCGACGTTCCGGTCAAATACTACTGGCGTAAATCAACCTTCAATTGCAGAAGCTCCCAGTAAAAAAGCGATTTTAGAGCTCCGTACTTACTATGGGTTGACCCTCTACCAAAGCTTGCGCGCGGTCCTGCGGGACGCGGGGTGAGGAGGCGGGTGATGTACGGAAGACGGGGTTTCGCAGTACACAACCTACGAACCCGAATGCTTGCTATTGCCCGGATCAGGCGAGCTCGGCATTGTAATGTCCAGATAGATAGATGCGAGATAAACCTAGGATTGAGGGTGAAGGTGAGCGTGAGGGTGTCAAAGTGAGGCCCCGCACCCGCACCTACCGTCGGACTCATAAAACAGCCAAAGTACGCAACAAACAACTACCGGATCAACCACCAACGGACTCACCGATAACGTCTCCGCGTGCTCCGCGCCGTCTCGCTCCCGCACCCAGGCGAACACCTCGCCGGGTCGCATCAGCAGCTCCGCCACCCTCAACCCCTCGCCCACAATGCCCCCCGGGTTGCTGCGGACGTCTAACAACCAGGAGCCAACACCCTCCGCCTGGGCCGCCGGGTGCACAGCGCCAGAACAGTAGCAGGAGTATACGGCAGTACAAGCGGTAAAGGCAACAGCAGCAAGCAAGCAGCGGACTTCACCTTCCTCCTTCCCACGCCCAATCAACGCCCGAATGTCTCCGTCCTTCACCCTACAGGGCCCGCCACAGGTTAAGAGCCCAGCATGAATCCCATTTCGTCCTTCCTTTTTCTGGATCTGGATCTGGACCTGGATCTGGATCTGAATTCCGTCATTTGCTTAAGTCTGCACGGAGGAGCGACACGGCTCCCGGAAATGCTTTCCCGCCCCCCAGGTCCACATGAGGGGCCTCGAAAGGGCGCCTTACGCACACACACAAAAGCACACACCGTAACGGAAGACGGACTGTTGCAGCAGCGACAAAGATACGATGAATACGGGCAACGGCCAACACTCGCTCTTGCCTGAAGCGCCTTGATGGCATCCTCCACTTCCGATGCCACATTCTCTGTGAAGGCTACGATGCGGATGTATCCCACCTTGGACGCTGACGGCGGCGGCGGCGGCGGTGGCGGTAACAGCGGTAGCGGTGGGGCTGATGTCAGCGCAGCCGCTGGCGCTGCCAATACCGTGACTAGGGGCCCGCGGGCGCTCTGTCCACCGCCGCTGGCGCTGCCGCCACCGCCCACATCGCTGCCTCGGCCGGACGCGAAGGGGCTAGAGCGCCTTTGCTTGGTTACTACAGCGTACTGCACAGGCACAAACTCCACGGGCGCCGGACGAAGTACGACATCGAAGAAAGTGTCGGGAAGCTGGTACGAGGTAGATGGCGTCGACATTGGCTCAGCGGGTGCGGCTGCTGGGACGGTGTCGGTGTTGGAGTCTCCAGCAGCTGTGGCTACCGCCACCGCCGCTGGCGCCGCCGGCTCCACGCCGGACACCGAAGGTGGTGAGCGGCGTGTGACGGTGGTCACAGGGCCCCGTGAGGCGGCCGCGCCCGCGGGCCCCTGTTGCCGCCGCAGCACCTTCAACGACACCTCGACGTCCTGCCGCAACAAGTCCTGTATTGCGGAGCTACGGGGCCATGCGGTGGGTGTGGGGTCGCGCGGGCGTTACTTACTAATGGCGGGCCCCATGCACCCATATACCCTGCAGGGATCGTTGTCGCTCCCTAGGCTTCCCCGCACTACCACACAAGACACCAGCCGAGTCTTCTCCTCGGCAACGAACATGCGCAGTTGGCGGAGAGCCCTAAATGCGCCTGCCTGCCTAACAGAACGCCATGATGAATCCAGGGATTCAATGTTTTAGAGTTTTAGGGTTTAGGCCCACACACTCACTCCGAATCGCTGCGCAGAGCCCACACCGGCCGGCCGTTGATCGCGACCAGCTCATCCCCCTCTCGCAGGCCAGCTGCCTGGGAGGGGCTCTGGAGCGCGCAAAGCACGAAAGACCGGCGCAAGAAAGCAAAACAGACGACAGCGCGGAACGGGGTGCGTATATGCATGCATACATGTGTGAGATATCACAGCCGAAGTAGCTTCGTGGATTGAAATCTCTGCACAGCGCACCGAACCCTTGATGAACCGCCGCTCAGCCCGCCGGTCCAATGTCCACGAGTGGACACACGCCGAAAATATCCGACCTTAATGTACGATACTCACCAGTCCAGAAGCTGCATATAGCCATGTGGGCCCCAAACCCTAAAACCCTAAGTCTGTAAGTCTGTAAGTCCGGGTGCCACCGCCCTCCCCCATCTCCCCACCCCGACAGGCTGCCCGGGCTCAGACCACTTACCCCTGCGATCACAGACGAGACCACCAGCGGCCCCTGGGGACCCCCCCGCCGCCCCACCAGCAACCCCGTGGAGAAGCTCTGCATGTGCACGAAGCAGTTGCACCAGCCATTCAGGCAAGCAAGCATGGCAGGCAGGCAGGCAGCCAGCCATTTCAGACCGTCGACGGGGACGTGCACAGCAGGTGACAGTTGTGCCGCCGCGTCTCTCGTCAGTTTGCCCGCCGATGCAGCCCGAAGCGGCATAAGGAGGTCCTTAATTGTGTGTAAGTTAGGTGGGAGAAATCGAGTTATTACCTCACCAACATCCCGTTGATGCTAATGTTGATGATAAGGTGGAGGTGGAGGAGGGGGAGCGCCACATGCACAAACGACTCTAAGGACTCCCCATCCCAACGCCAGCCCGACCTGTACCGGTGACCAAACGCAGGCCAGTGCTCTTCCAGGTATTTTCCCCATGCACCAGGATGTCTGCCTTAACGGTTACCCTTAAGACCCGCCTTGCACCCCTGGCCCCCCTGGGCCCATTACCTGTGTCGCGTCAGCACAGGGCCCCAACTGAGTCATCCCCCGGAGACCCGCCCATCTTGGCCCTTAGGAAACTCCCTTACAAAACACGTTCCTGCAGCATAACCGCCAACTAATCCCCTCACCCGCCCACCCGTCCCGCATTCGGTCTCTTAGCCGGCCACGGCCACAGCCGCTGCCGCAGCGACCGCCGCAGCAGCAGTTCCGCCCACCTTGGCCTGCTTCATGGCCTGGAAGGCCTCGCTTGCTCCCCCCGGCAGCAGCACCCTTGTGAAGGGGTCCCCCAGGCTGTCCAACATGAGGGTCACCTGCTGCAGGGCCTCCTCCCCGGATGCGGCTCGGAAAGTGGCCGTCAGAGAGTCCTGAAGGCCCGAGTGGTGGTAGTGGTAGTGGTGGTGTTGGTGGTGTGGTAGTAGTGTTGTTGTTTTTGTTGCTAGTGGTGTTGCTGGTGCTAGTGTTGCTGGTGGTGCTGGTGGTGGTGGTCATGGGTAATCAGACAAAACCCCTAAGAGACATCCATCATGGGTGGGTGGTATAAACAAGCGAAGCGAACTACTCAGAGTTTGGCTTGGGGAGTGACGGTGGAGGAGAGGGAGGCGAGGAGGAGCAGGGTGAGGAGACAGGGGCCGTCCTGGCAGTTGAAGAAGTTTACCCGAGGGGGTGCCGGGCGGATGTCGGTTAACTTATATTGGCTGAGCACCGGACATGACGAATGGTCGAATGGACGGCAGCTACTCCACGTAGGGCCGCCTCTCCCTCGTATAAGGCTGCCGGCCGCCATCCACTTCGCTTACCCCGTAAGCACTGGTCCGCCTCCCTCCCACCCTCCCCACGGCCTTTACCCTAATACAAATACACACAACCTGCAGTTTCTTAGTCCAGTCCTGGCTGTTGAACGTGGGGTCCACGAATAGCTCCCGAACATAGCCTGCAACAGCAGAGGGAATGAAGAAACTACTACTAGCACCACCACCGCCACCACCACCACCACCGCAACTTCAACAAGATACTGCAGTAGCAGTGGAACCAACAAGGGCAGGGCAGGTGGGTTCAAGTCCCACAACCGCGCTGCTATACCTACGCCGCCAGCGCGCAGCGCCACACCAGCAGGAGGCACCAGGCGGCGGAGTTTGCATGACGTGTTTCCTAGCTTCTCTGACGAGGGAGACTTCTCGTTTGGCCCCTAGCAGGATGTATCAGATCGGGCTGGCTGTGCTGTGCTGTTCCTGGACTAAATGCATGGGCCTTCTGCGGTCACTAGCCAGTAAGGGCTGGTCACGGCCACGTGGGCCCCGGTAGGTGGGGCCCTCCGATACGGGGCACACCGTTGACCCCAACTAACTGTCCCACACTATCGACCCGACGATGCGAGATGACGGAACGCACTGATCGCCCCGAGGGATTTCCCACGGTTCTGTTCACCGTTCCCTTGACGAGAACGTGTGTGTCACCGCGCGGGCGATGTTCCACTCCAACACAGCTCACCCCAAGCTTGCACCAGCACCTCTTGTGCGCCCCGTATCTCCGGGTTCGGGCTTGCAGGGAACTTAATCGTGAGGGCGTCGGCAGCTGGGGCCGGAAGCGATGACGACAGGAGGATTGCGCACGAGGACAACGTCGACACGAGCAGCGCGCGGACGCGGGCGCCAACGCCTGGGGCTGGTGCCGCGTTGTCGTGCGTTGTGCGTGGCTCAGTAGGAGCACGCCTCACAAATGACTTACAGCAGGCTATGCGAGGGCATAGTGGCCGCTGCCCGGGGCCAACGTATGGACAGCGTATCCTTGAATGCATTTGGTTTGGTCAGGGTCAATCCGTCCGTCTCTTACAATAACGTCATGTACACTGCCACATTTGGGTAAGTATTACTTGAAATTTCATATGCTCACGTTCCTATCTACCCAACAAGCCCTACACGATATGCCTTCGGTTTACCAGACTCAGCTCCAGAACCAAAAATCCAAGCATAGCAATCATCGCATCCATGGACAAGCTATTCTTTCATTAAAAGGTACTAATGGACCGAACTTGCGGTAGACGCTTTCCTGACAGCTCAACCACCATGCAACGTCGATATAAACACCACATGGTCGCCGTCGTTTATAAAAGATTCGGTAGCCCCACTGCGAGGAAAATATGAAAAGGACATATAATACATAGCATTTGCTAACAAAACACGCAACCGTACGGCTCCTACCTCAACTCCCAGTCGCACTCGTTGATTAGGACGAGTATCCCCGGACGCCTGCGGCAACCGCAGACCATCAATATGATCGGCATCGACGAGCTGTCGTATCTTACTGTTCATGAGCACGCAGCCGCGAAGCGTGAGTTGCGGAAAGCCTCATTCCCGGGTACGTACACAGAGCTGCCTTTCACAAAGAGCTCAGGTCGCTCTCTCAACATGTTGTCACGTGCCCAGGCTATAAGTTGCCCTGCCGTCAACCCCTGCATGACATGCCGAGCCAATCCGCCAGGCAGGAAGGCTCTTGAGAACGTTGGGGATTCGGCATCCCCGGGGCACTGCGGCAAACCCGTGCCAAAGCTCATAGGCACAAGGCCAATGCGCGGGGACAAGAGGACATGCCCACATACCGTACCTGTCCCGCCTGGATAGGGACATCGACATCATGCTCCTTTTGGTTGCCGAAAAGGAGCTCCAGGCCGCCGCTGTCGTGGAGCGCAGTAGAGTGAGCTTAACCTAGCATGGCGCGGCCTGGCGTGTCTGCCACAGCGCTACCTGAACTCGATACGGACTCGGACCATGGCTGAACTATTGCACAGGCACCTCTACGGAGGAGGGTCGACAGCTCCAACCACCGGCCTCTTCTACCACAACCGCAGACAGGGGCACCTAAGTGAAGTAAATGGAAATTAACTCACTACCAACCAGACAAAAAACAGTTCATTTTGAGGCTGTACAACCACTAAGCGAGTAAAAGTTTGATCTGTGTGCCTTGCTACAATGCTCATTAGGGTTACGCCAACAAGTATGGCAAAGGCAGGCTCATGCACAGGAATGCTGGCTGTCCACAGATACGAAGAGTTGCAAGATACGGCCGTCGCCAACCGAATCGAACTGATTTGTTGAGATACATGTCGCCTCAGCTTTACGATGTCACAATTGCATAGACGGTTCGATTAAAAAGGAATTTTCATCCAGTGTTTGTAGCGGTATCCAGCCATGGCCCGCACCAAAGATGATGTTATAGCTACATTACAAGATGCGGGTGTTTCTTTTCAGACTTTTGAACATGCACCTGTCATGACAGTTGAAGCACAGGTGCGCTATTTATTCTGGCTGTTGATACTTCTAGCCGACAGGCTTCCTCACTTCGGTCTGCTATGGTGCTGGCGCAGATCAACGCCCTTCCCGGCAATCCAAAGACCGTCCTCAAAAATCTCTTTCTTAAGGTACGTGATGGCGTACGTCGGTGCTGTATTGACGTGAGTCCCCGTTCATGTGCGTAGTGTCATGTGCGTAGGACAAGAAACACCGGTGCTACATTGTCACTGCGCTGCCGGGGACAAAGATCGACTTGCAGGGTAAGCTCCTCCCCCCTACCCGAGGGTATGCAGGACAGAAGGCTGCACATGTGCAACGAAGTCGTACCCACAGGCTCCTATTAAAAAGGACGCCCGGATGCCAGGCCCATTAATCGTGCTGATGCCCCATACCCGTGCAACCCTCAAAACTCAACTCACCTCATGCGCGAACCCATCCGCAGTGCTGTCAGCCCGCCTGGGGGTGGGCAAGGGCGGCGTCCGAATGGCGCCAGAGGAGCTGGTAACTAGCGTTCTACAGGTGGGCTGCGTGCGCGGACCGGAATGCGGGTTAAGTCATCTTTGGGATTCACAACACGCCTGGGGTGGGGGCGGGCTCGGGGCTCGGGGTCGCGAAGACCACCACAAGTTGGGATTAACCAAATGGGTGAACCGAATGTGAAGCTCTTTGTTTGAAGAGCTCGTAGTGTGGAAGCTCCTAGATTACATGGATCCTCACTCGGGGGAGGGGGGGGCAGGGGGGAACTGGATCCCGGGAAGGAGGTTGGTTTGGATCGTGTCGGCAACTCGTACACGACAACGCGACATGCATGGGCGCTCATGGCCACGTCGCAGCAACGTCCTGGGCGGAATCAGGCCTATGGTCACATGACCTCAAATGGATGTGGATAGGATGTTGAATAGGAGTGCGGCGCTGCTGCCCTGCCTTGCTGGTACTGCATTCACTGACATGGTTATGGCTGCTAGGCCCATCACTAATCTGCTCGGTTGCTATGCATCTGTTGTTTTGCTGCTGCCACAATAGCTTTGGGGGGTGCTCCACAACAAAGGTGCTACTGCCCTATCGTACGTCCACCATCCGGCGTCATCGCATATTTGCGTATCGCTAGGTGGTATACCTTTCTTTCTTGCCACAAAAGATTACAACACAACGCAACATAACACGATGAGGACTTGATGACGCAGGTGCCGCTCGGCAGCGTCACGCCGCTGGCTGTAGCAAACCCGGAGGCGGCCAATGTGGTGCTACTGCTGGACTCCAATATCCAGGACACAGCGCACGTGCCCGCTGACGGCGGTGTCGTGTACGTGCACCCGCTGGTCAACACCGTCTCCCTGGCGTTGACTCCAGGGGAGCTGGCGGCCGCAGTACGGTACGACAGGACTCCGGCTGCGGAATCTGCGGGCTTGGCGCCGCAGTTGGTGATTTGTGACTGACCCTGAATGAAAGGAGGGTTGGGGTTTTAGGGTTGAAGTATTGGAGACGAGGCGAGGGTCCGAAATGCAAGAGGGGTTGCAGCGGCACGGAAGAGGCGGGCGGGCCCTGTTGGGCCCCTGCTGGAGCTCTAACGCCATTCACCCCCCGTGAGCACTACCGTCGCTGTCTGGGCTGTGGACGCTGTCTGTTGCCATCCATTCACCAAAATACCCAAGATCCGGGTCGCCGTGTGTAGCCCGATATAGCGTAGTGACATAACTGCCAGCAGAGCAGAGAACACCGGTCCTGCTGATCCTGCACTCTGACCACCGCTTTTTGTTGTCGCTGACGGAGCTCTGTCGGAGCTTACGATACCGCTGCTGTTGCCGCTGTTGCCACCACCACCACCACCACCACCACCGCCACCACCACCAGAGCTTTGGGCCGTGAGCCGGTCTTTGTGGACTTAGAGGCGGATCCCAAGATCGACAGGGACAATCCGCCCGACCTGAAGGCCATCGCGGATGCAGCCCAGCCGCCGCGGCTGGCTCTGCCCGAGAGTGTAGCCGCCGCAGCTACTGCCAACACGGCAGCAGCAGCCGCTCCGACAGCACCTGCACCTGCACCTGCCAAGGTAGCATCAGCCCCTGCGAGTAAGTAACTGAACAGGGGGTATTGACGGTTGTGTCGGTTGGACTACAGAGCCGTGTAGTGTCGCAACGCGAGTGGCGGGCAGGGGAGTCATCGGTAGCAACGGAGGTTTGACGACTCTGTCAGAACGAACTCATCTAAACCCTCCCGCAGACCACCCTTGGTTTCTTCTCACCTCGTCAACCTGCTCCAGACTCACGCCCCATGTCGTTCTCACCATCGCTTCGGGACCCACCCTTCTCGTCTTCATCCCACCCCTCTCCATGCTTCTCCAACCGCCACCCTCCTGAAGACGGCAAGGCGGCAGCCACCACGCCCACCGCGACGAAGTCGAAGGGCGTCGCCGGCAAGGGCGCTTCCAAGGCACCAACGGCCGCTGTCACCACCGTCTCTTTGACGGCCGTCTCGCCCCGTGTGGAGGAGATGTTAAAGACCGCCTGTGTGGCGCTGCTGGGAGGGGCGACGCCGGAGGAGGCGACGGCGTCAGGCCGCGTGGACGGCTACCTAATGGCGCGACTGCGTGCGGATCTGGAGATGCAGCTTACAGCGCTGAAGAACGCGGCGTACGCGGCGGGCTATGTGGCGGGCAAGGGGGAGGTGGTTGCGCATGCGGAGCGGAGATACGTGTAAAAGGGGAGTGTAGGCGGGTAGGTGTAGGTGGGTAGGTGTAGGTGGTAAGGTATGTATGTAACTAGAGGTGTATAATTTGGAAGAAGGCAGGGCGCATGGAGTAGGCGCTGTGTGCCCTGGTTCGGCGTGACGCCGCAATAAAGCAATAAAGCGCTTTTCATTCCGACACAGCGACAGTCCTGCTTCCATCCATGTACGAAACGTGTACACGCAAAGAGGAAAAGCCTGAGAGCTGGGTTTGGGCCTTATGGCGGGCTTATGGAGCAGCCATACGGGAAGCAGTAGAGTAGAGGAGGGGGAGGAGGAGGAGGAGGAAAGCTTGGAGGTCAGGAAAAACACATTGGTTGAACCCAGGGCGTCATCCACCGGGGTCACCGCCGGGGTCAAGACTCGTCGTTAATATTATGGGATGGGGGGCACCCTGGGTGGCGCACCTGCGGGGGGACCGCCCTCACCATGTTGGGATGTTGGGATTTAGTTGTTCATAGGCCCAACGACCGTGAGTGTGCCACACGTACCTGCAGGCTTTGTGACTGCAGAGCGGTGGGCGATGAATTGCTTGTGTTTGGAGAATCCCTGCTTGTGATGGCTTGAGGGCTAAGTATGGGAGTGAACTCGGGTACCATCATGACTGAGGCTCCCCCGCTGGCATTCGCTATCTTTCTCTCCGAGGTCTGGGAGACTAGCTCTGGTGTAGCTACCTGTTTAATGGGAACATCAGGTTACAAAGCTAGCGCAGTACCGGTAATTTCCGTACGGTCCCATGGGCCGCGAAGAAAGGCATCATCGTCAGACATCCATCAATTTGGACATTAACCCTTGATAAACTGAAATAGAGTAAAACAATATCCAAAGTGATTAATTTGTGGCACAAACTTGGCGGGATGTCGCATAAACCTGCGACATCGACAGCATTCACTTTTGCTCAATATCTGGTTATGAAATGAGCATTATCTGGGCGCTGTTCGTAGCTTAGATCAAATCGATTGCGCGAAAGGTTGTGCTAGAGCATTTTCAGTAGCAACATGGTTTGGGCAATTACACCGAATACTTTTGATGTTGTTGTCATCGGATCTGGCCTACCGGAGTGTCTCGTCGCGGCGTAAGTGGTGAAGAGGCTGCCGGTGTAAGCATCTCCCGAGCATCATCCCCTCATCCCGCTGCCTCCACCCCTCTTCCGGTCCTCAGATCACTTCTCAAAGCGGGAAAAAGCGTTCTGATAATCGACGCCGTGGACACCTATGGCACAGACTTCGCGTCTTTCACGCCAGCGGCGCTAGACGATGCCATTGTGCAGGAGCAACAGCAGCGCCCTCCGACAGCAGCACCTGATCAGGCTGTGTCTGCCGCTGTGGACACAGCTACCAGCAGCGGCCCAGCCCCAGCCCCAGCCCCGGGCCGGGCGCAACATGTCGAGGCAGAGCATGAGCATTCCCTCCCGAAATGCAGCCCAATCTTAGAACCATTGCCTCTCGGCTCCCGGCTGCTGCGTTTGCGCCAGAAGTCACTGCCGTTGTCGGATATTCGGGCTTTTGCAGCCCCGGGGGAGGAGGGCGGCGGCCCCGAGGATCGGCGGAGCTACATCTTGGACCTGGCGCCCAAGGTACGAGGCAGTTTCAAACTTTAAATGCACTCCGGCAGTTCATTTCTGATATCCTTTCATATGGTTTCTCTCCTCCCCCCTTTCCCCCCCTCCTCGTGTGGTTCGTCTTTCCCCCCCCTCCTCGTGTGTGGTTCGTCTTTCCCCCCTCCTCCCCCCCCCCGGGCATATGCCTGCATCACTTCTCCAGTTAGTCTACCAGGCCGAGCCCCTGGTGGACCTGCTGGTACGCTGCCGCTGCCACCACTACCTGGAGTTCAAGGCGGTGGAGGGCAGGTGGGGCGGCCGGGGACGTGCTGGGAAGGGTGGGGGGCTCATACATACATACAAACGTACAAACATATAGACATACAGACAGACATGGTTGCAGAATGCTTGGAATGCCTGCTCGGGCTCCCCCCGGCACAACAAAGCAGCATGACGCAACCAAAGGGCACAACGGAGAGAAACACAACAGCGCCAACCTAGACAGAAATGGCCCTTTCTATATACGTTCCCCTCCTCCTGCTGCTCCTCCTGCTGCTGCTACTGCTGCCGCTGCTGCGTCTGCTGGTGCTACTGCCGCTGCAGCTACCTCCTGCAGGACGGGGCGCTACAGCCGGTGCCCGCCAGCCGAGCCGACATCTTCCGCGACCGCCGCCTGTGTCTGGGTGAGAAGCGCGCCCTGATGCGCTTCATCCAGGGCTGCTTGGAGGCACGCAGCGGACAGGGACATCTTCAGGTAGGCGGATTTGCGTATGTATGTATAGGTGTATAGATGTATGTATGCATGTATGTATGTGTGTATGTATGTATGTATGTATGTATGACTTAGATTACACTGTGGGCCGCGAGAGCGGGGGGCCGAAGCCGAAACACAGCGCAAGGGTCGGGAGCACACAGCACAAGTCGGTTAGTCTTGTGTGCTCCCGACCCCGACTCAGACTGCCAACACTCTACGCAGCCACTCCGCAGCCACTCCATCCGGGGATGGCGCTGCAGTATGTATGTATATATGTATGTATGTGGGGGGTTTGGCTGTGTGTGGTGTCGGCGGCAGCCGGTCAGGTGTTTGTAGTGGTAGGTTGGTGCAGCAGGGCGGGGCTCTCCGGGGCTCTCGCGCATTAGGTATGGGAGCTTGGATAGTCAGCGGGGGTCGGGGGGCTTAATCCGGGGGGGGGGTAACAAAGGGTTACGAAAGGGTTAGGTGCACCCAATCGCCACGGCGGCCGGCACGTGCCGCGGAACCGCTTTAAGAGGGCTGCAGCCTTTCGCCGCAGGGACCGCCGTATGCTTGGTATGTGTGTGCAAAAGGAAATCTATTGCCCGAGTTCTATGCAGCTCTACGACTACCGCAACCTGGCTAACCGCCGACGCCGACGCCGTCACGGCCCCCACTGACTACCGCCACTGGCGCTACTGCCGTAACCCCTCCCCCTCCCCCTCCTCCCCCACCCTCCACACACAGGAGGCGCTCTCTAGCTGTCGACCACTGGCCGACATTCTGACGGCGGAGGCCCTCTCGCAACGGCTGCGGGACGTCATTATGTACGGCATCGCCATGTGCGACACTGACCAAGAACCGCCGCCGGCGGCGACGGCCGCTACTGCCGCTACTGCCGTCAGCGGCGGCGGCGGCACTGGTATCCTGACTGGCGCCGGCGCGGCGGCCTCCCTGGAGTTGTTCATTAGTAGTCAGAGCCGCTTCGGACATGAAGGAGCGTTTATGGTGCCCTGTTACGGCAGCGGGTCGGTGGCGGAGGCGTTCGTACGGCTATGTGCCGTGCACGGCGCCGTCACGGTCCTGCGGCAGCCAGTGCAGGCGCTTGTCGTTGCGGAAGCGCCGCCGCTGTCGTCGTCGGCGGAGGCGGCGGCGGAGGCTTCGGGATCCGATCCGGATCCGAGGTCAAGCGCAGCGGCGGCGTCGGTGGCGGCGACGTTACCGCAAAGCGGAAGCCATCTGGGCCACGGCGCAGCTGAAGGGTGTTTGGAAGATGACGGAGCTGGCCAAGCCGCTACCGCCGCCGCTGGCGTGTGTGTGGGCGTCGTGACGGCTACGGGTCAGTTGGTGCGCTGCGGGGCAGTGGTGGCGGCGAGCAGTACATTGAGGTACGACTTTGGCTGGCGTTACAGCGGGACCCACTATCTCTTGGGATCTATCTCTGGTAGCGGTATATAGTTACACAAGTTATAAGTTACAACTTGTAACGTCCTTACTTTAACTTGTAACTTGGTAGCGGTATATATAGTTCAAATCTCCTACCTATGTTGGCACAACGCAATACCAGTTGCCGTTCCCAGAGGCTCGCGAGCGCAGTTGCGGGTCCAATGCGCTGTGAGGTGATGCCGCCCGTGCCGAATGTGGCGTGTTTTTCATGCGCCATACGTACTCCCTCACATTCCCCGAGCGTGAAATATCCGCCGAACCCAAACCGCCTGTCGTACCCGGCCGTACATGCACGCGTGTGTATGCGTGCAGCTGCGTGGAGGGTATTGCTGCCGTACCCGCCGCAGCACCGCCTCATGAGTACGTCTCCCGTGCCGTGGTGGTGCTGGATGGCTCAGTGCTGATGCCTGTGACCCATGGGTCAGGCGCCACCTCCACCTCCACCGCCGGCGGCGGCGGCGGCTCCACTGCCGCCGCCGCGCCCAAGTCGCTGCTAACCTTGGTGGTGCCGCCACGCTGCCCGGGCCTGCAGGCCGGCGCCGCCGCCGTCCCCGCCGTCGCCGCAACTGCTGCTACTGCTGCTGCTGCGTCCTCGGACTCCTCCAGGGAAGCTCCCGACACTGGCGGTAGCAGTAGCAGTGGTAGCAGTAGCGGTGACGGCCTTGGCAATCCTCATCCAGTGCGGGTGATCCAGGAAGGGGCGTCCACGTGCGTCTGTCCGGC